TCTAATGGGTTTCTGAACCATTTCACTTTAAAGGAACTGTGTCATGAAATTCAGCCAACCTAGGAAATTACAAAATGCCCGTTAAATTAAGAGAAACAAAAATAATTGCTTAAAACTTCAAAGGAAGGTTAAGTTAACATAACAAAAACAAAAGATGCCACAGATGGGCAAAACTGCAGAAGATTGAAACAAATTGAAATTAGGGTTTTTGAAAACTGTTCAGCCTAACAGTTTTTCAAAGTTAATCCCTGCTGCTTGCAACTTCAGAAATAATGCTCATGAGACATGATTATTCGTTTGTCTCGGATCTCTGATTTTGTCATTTACCTGTAATTTCTTTGCTTACTTTAAGTTCCATAGCGATTGAGGGTGAGTAATTTGGGAACATAAAACAAAATGAACTGGTCTGCTGTGACACAGCCCCTTTACCAACCATGCTCAGAGCTGACACAAAGAATAATATGATTAAGTCAATGGTCAAATACTTTATTAGATTAAAGGTAAAAAGGTAAATACAATGCCAAACAAGCTTTGTGATTCTCCATGTTTATCAAAAATCACTCTTTTGTTTCTAAAAACATTATTTACGACAGCAGCTTCATTATGTACCAGCAATCAACATAAGAGAAAACCTTCCCTTCTGCACAATTTGAAGAGTGCATCTTTACAAGGCATGGGCATGCCCTTGATTTTAAAAAGGGAATTGAATGAGATTGTCAGACATATACTAAAGAAAAACTACATTAACTAGAACAATAATTCTATGTGAATGAAATGAGAACACCTAAAAAATCTAATAACAATTTACAAAGATATTATCCCACAAAGCAGCAGATGAAATGGAAAATTTCTAATAAAAATAAGCAGTTTCATGCAAGTCTTGGATCCCTGCAGACAGAGTTCCTAATGAACACACTTCAGTAAAAGCGCCCTAATAGCCACAGTACTGCAAAGTTCAATAACAGAATGTTCTAGTAAGGTTTATATCCACCGCCGCCAGTGCCTCCTCCGCGTCCACGTCCTCCTCCACGCCTGTTTGGTCCATAGCCTGAAGGTTCAGAGCTGTATTGACCCATGTTGTAGCCCCCACCATAGCCTCCACCACCATAACTGCCATACCCACCATACGCTTGCCCATACCCATTATCATATGCATCATAACCATAACTATAACTGGGATCTTCATAACTGTAATAACCGCTGTACTGTTGACTTCCATAACTATAACTTCCACCTCCACCTCCACCACCACGGGCACCACCTCTCCCTCCTCTTCCACCACCACCACCACGGCCACCACGTCCACCTGCACCTCCTCCACGACCTCCTGGTCCTCCTATCTCTTCTGCTTTTTTCAGTTCAACCTTCTTGTTTTTGATGGTGCAGTTCCTAACAATGAAGAGCTTGTCTACAATATCTTCATTGTGGAATATAGCAAATGCATAGCCCTTGAACTTGTTAGTGTTGCGATCTCGCATTAGTTTGATCTGCTCTGGAGGATGGCGAGTGAAGATGGCCAGCACTTCTTTGATGTCTTGTTCTGTGGCTTCTTCGTTTAATCCTCCGATGAACAGCTTCTTAGTTTTTGTCTGAGCCAAGGGGTTTGGATCATCTTTAGGAATAGCTCGCCGTAAAAACACAGTCTGACCATCAATGGAATGTGGTCGGTCCTCCAAAATGGTATCGACAATTGCTTGGTCAGCCATTGTGACAAAAGCAAATCCTCTTGGCGTTCCCTCGTTGTCGCTGACAATATTGACTTCAGTTACTTCTCCATAATTGGCAAAAAACTCTCTCACAGTTTCTTTTGAGGTCTCAGGCTTAAGTTTTGCAACGTAAAGCTTCTTGAGATCAGGATTCTCATGCCAGTTCTCGGTAGCCATGTTAGATCAACCCTACAAGTAAGAAGAGGCCAAAATTATCAATCAGTATTACAACACACAACAGGTAAAATGGCTGCAACTAGTAGAATGCATATTAACCTTAAATAGCAAAAAAGGACCATCGACATAATGGCACAATTTTATCAAAAAGAAAATTAATAATGTAAAAGTCAAACATTAGTTCAAAAGCTGCAAACTAAAACTTAGAAATTATTTTTACAATCATGAAATAAGCACAACTCAAAAATTGCTGAAAAGAGAAATGAGAAACTGACACAGTGGGCTGTTTGAATAAAAATTTATTTAACCAAGAAAACTATCCCATTAATAGTAAAAAATGATGAGCTTCAATATTTAGAAGTAAAGCTGGAATGAGCTGATCTACATCAAACTTTTTCGCACATGGGTCATTTCAAAAGAACCAGTTTTACGATGAAGGTGTTTTCACAACACAATGCAAAAATGCTGCTTTTTCCACACCAGAGGCATGTTTAGTCAACTATCAAAAATGTATGCTCAATGTATGAGTTGTGGTTCAATTTTATTTTCCTTTGTTTTAGGAGAGAAATGTACGATAATAAATTTGGAACAAGGGAAAATAATAGAAAATAAACCACAGCATATGCATTTATGTGTTCTGTTTAAAAACTAATTTTGGGCAATGCACTGCTTTACTACCAAGTAGCCTGCGCAACAGACAAAACTTAACTCTGGTTAAGTCTGTCTGAGAAGTAATGCCAAAATCCTTCTTCTAGGCCCCATCTGTGTACCAGGATTTGAGTGCACGCCATGATTGGCCTGTTAAAAAAGCCATTGTTGCTTTGCCAATTGGGTTGCAAGGAAATTCAAAACACATTTCCGTTAAATTGTTGAGTCCGTTTAGGGCCCAGAACAAGGATTTGGGCACTGCTTTACGGAGGTTACTAACTAGGGTTAAATTATGTTGGTGATAAACGCTAACTACCAAAGGGCTTCTACTTTCAAAACAGAAGGTCAAAATGATTCTGGGCTGATAAATGACATTTGAAAAAATACACTTTGAACAGGGCAAGTCAACAAACACAACAATATTCCGGCCAACAACATAAAACAGATGAAAGTTGATACAGAAACATCATTATTGTGAGGAAAAATGTATACGCTTTTTTAGGAATACTTATATCCTTTCAGAAGCAATAAAGAATCCTAAATCTTTTGTGCTCTCAGCTCAATGAGGCTTTTTTTTCCTTCCACGTTAAGGTGGAAACTTTTGTCACTAATTAATGTACAATAATGAGCAGAAGTTCAGGAATTAACAAATTTTGTGAGGACCCTCAAAACACCAACAAAGCAAAAATGCGCTTTGTCTCCTGGATAAAAAAGTTTATAAGCAAAACAGAGAAGAGTATGGGAATTTACAAAAAATAGACTGGCTATCACTAAAAACTGAAATACCTCACTGGTGCAAGACAACTTGGTGAATGAATTACATGGATCATTTCACCTTAATAATGTTAACCTTGTGTCAAATATACATTTCTTCAATGCTAGTGTGCCAGGTAACAAACAAAACCTTTAAAGCTCCATAGAACACAAAGACTGTACAAAAATGCAGTAAGGACAAAATTAAAAACATGAAGAGATAACTTGAAAAGAAAACCCTTGGAAGACGTGCTTCTTTGCATCTTTGTCATGAATAGATGGAAAACAAACTGTTGAAACTGGAACCAGGAAAATCAATGGGAAACTTCTCTGAAACAATCTTTCTTTGTCTGCAAAGGATAGGTCACGTTTGCTATGCAGTTGACTTCAGCCGAGGAATGCACCTTTGTAATTTTCTTCCCTTATTTTGTTCACTCAGAAATCTTCAGGAAACTGGAAAACGTCTCTTGAAAACAGAGCAATATGCGTCTGTTTAAAATGGAAATTCAAATTTGAAGAAAGGTATGAAAACTTCATCAGGAAACTCTCTTCTTGCCCTATCCAAGCGTTACAAGCTCACACTGTGTAAAACATACATGTTTTTCGAGGAATCCGTCGCCTTGTAGCCCTTAGGGAGCGTATAAGTGTACTAGTTACCCATCTTTAGATCCATCGTCCACGCATCCAATGACTTTGTCATCTAATGACGCTGTCATCCTCGGTAGACGCCATGACACTTCGCTGCATTGCGATGGCGGCGGAAAGGAATTCCGGCGGCAGAAGTCGCATTGGTTAGAATTTTCTGCCAACACAACTGTCAGTTCAGTACGGTAATGTAATTTTAAGTATAAATAGTTCTCACGTTGTCGAAAGCTTCATTTACTGCAAAAAGAAAATTGGGGACCACGCGGTTTTGAAACACACCGCGGAATAAATTACCGTGAAAGCTTGGCTTTCTCTCTACACGTGGCCAACGAATAACTTACTTGAATTCTTTCGTCAGCAAACTTAAAGCACCCCAGTTCACGACGCTTCTTTTATGTAGTGAGAGAGAAAGTTTCAACAAAAGCTCTTCAGTCTTTATTCTCATTTTAAGCTTTTATCAAGGAAGGATATTAAAAACTTGCATTTTGGAATACGTCATCGACGAAAGAATGAAGCATGAAAGCAAGAAAATTCTTCATATTTATCACAAGAAAACAAAATATATACCTTGAGAAAGGAAGGATAAAGCAATAAACGAGGTTCATAATTGCAGGGTTCGATAAGTCTTACCTGGAGGCAAAGTTCCAGAACACTTTCTGATCTGTGAATACTGCCGACCACGCGTACAAAGCGACAGAGCGAGAGGCAGGAATCAGGCAGCTAGCCAAGATCAAAGTCACGTGGTCTGCAGCTACCCGAGCCCGCGCTATTTTGGCCAGTAACTAACATGACAACGAGGCGCTCGACAGGAGCCCGGGGCCGAGGGCCCGGAGTGAGGCGGGGGTTAGGGCGGGGGCACTCCCTTATTTGGCCAAGGCGGGTATGTTAAGGTTTTCATGCTGTTTTGTGATTTATGCTAGATTAGTAGATACTTAAAATACGGTACACGGTCTCACTATTTTGCGTGTCGAACAAGGTCAGGGTGTTTTTTTGGACTGGAAACGTTAAAAAGAACGTGAAGGTTGGCGATGCGCGGTGACCAGGCAGGGACAACCAACGTCGGTTTCCTCCTAAATGCATCGAAAACCGATTTTTAGAGTATCCAGAGTACTTTTGGATCCCTATGAATACATTCTAAGCGGCGCTATAAAATTTGTTTTTGTTCGGTCATCCTAGGGCAAATTTGTTTAAATACATATTTTTTGTTCTTTTTTCTTTTATTTACTTCTTCCTCGCCTTGCTGTAAGGATCTGTTTGCCGTTTCATATTTTTCTACAAGTTGTTATTGTACTAATCCGGGTCTACAACTGAGAGATTGGGGATCCGGCACCACTCATTGGTTCGTCGCTGTGGACTTGCTGATATTTAATATATTCTAGGGCAACTACCCTGGTTGCTGATAATTCGCGGCGAAGCCGTTTGTTTACCAGAGTAGGTCCAAGAAAAAGTCCTTCATGGAACAACATGGAGCCACAGACAATATAAAAAGTAGAGTGCACTCAGAACAAAAAATGCCTCATTTTACAAAAACGCCTATTTTGCGCTGTGGTCAGTGCCATAAGGTACCTCGCACATATTATGTAACTCTAGAGGAAAAACAACACCCCTTCCGACAAAATGAACGGATTCCGGATCCATCGGGAATACTTGTTGATAAATCAGGGGCACCCGACGAGAATATAGTTTAAAACCACTTAAACATAGCATTGCTGAACGTATTTTAGTATTTAAACGGTAGATATAGGCATATTTTTATCCCCTAAAAATTTTTCATCCGTTCGGATTTCCTAGCTGAAAGTCTAGTGATCCGAAAATATAGGGATCAAAACTTACCTTTTCGAAAATCTCAGCCAGAAAAAAGGCTCCCGAAAATTCTAGGTGACCTTTAGCCTGCGTAGCAGGCGTCGAAAGGGGTAGGGGGTAGGGGATAGGGAGGAAGGGAAAAAGGGGAGGGGGATTGGGGAGAGGGGGAGGGGACGCCTGCTCTAAGAACCCCCTTTTGTTCATATCTGCGGACGCTGGCGTCCGCAAATTCCTGATTGGCTGAGCCGTAATGAGTAACATATTGAAATGCCCGTTTCACAAATCAACAAACAGTCGAGATGGCAGCGGTAGACGTCGATGTCGTAGAGAGTGCTTTGAGAGATGTGAATTTATCTAGTGGTAGAGAAGCTGTTTTAAAACCAGAGCAAGAATCAGCAGTAAGGGCTCTTTTAGCCGACAGAGATGTTCTGGCGGTTTTGCGGACCGGATACGGCAAGAGTTTAATCTACCAAATGTTTGTACGCGCGAAGAACTAAGAGCTAAATGGTAATGCGGCGATTCTCGTCATTTCGCCACTGAAAAGTATTATCGAAGACCAGTTGCAGGAGATGGAATTGTTGGGCTACCCAGCGAAAGATTTAGCCAATTTATCAAGGTTCTGCAATTATACTGAGCAAATGTTATTTTAGCCGCATGTTTCACACTGAGAGGTCATGACATACATATCGATTGACTGTAGTTATTGGGCGCTTTCCATTTAGTCAAAATTTCCGGAATTTCCGGTTCGGCGGTAAATGGAACACGTTTCGTCGGTTCGTCCCACTGGAAAACTCCCAGAAAAAGTGGAAAATCTGAAAAGGTGGTCCCGTTTTCCCGGTTTGAATTTCCGAACGGAATGTCGTGTTCCATTGACGTTTCTTGTATTTTGTACCAGTTCCAGGTCCACGGTCGGGCACCCGGCCACGTACCGGGGTTTACGACCAAATGGAACAACTTTTTACCGATCGGAAATTCCACTTTTGCTACCACCGAAATTTCCGGGTTTTTTTCGTAAATGGAAAGCGCCCATTGTTTTCTGGTCGGCAGGATTTGCCCTCTGATGCAAGCGAAATTTCTTTGACCTCTTTTGAAGCGTAAAGCTTTTTTTATCACGGCTGAATAAGGGTTCCAATTTTCTCCAAAGTGCCTTCTGGATCTGAATAACTAAGCGAATTTCTTTAGTCCGTGAGTGTAATGCTTTTCTGCAATGGCTAGTGTAGCGACACTTGATTGACAGTAAGCGTAATCGAATTACTAGAAAATTGGTAGGCGTTATGCAAAAACATAGGCTCTTAGAGCAGGCGCTCCCTTCCCTTTTCCCTTTCTCCCTCCCCCCTCCCCCTCCCCTTTTTGCGCCTGCCACGCAGGCTAGGTGACCTTTTAAGGGTAAAATTCCGTTAAAAATGGGCAATTATACCATTTTTTTAGATGTTCGAAAATCCTAGGATAGGCAGGCAAGCAAGAAATTTTACAGCAAATGTTCCGAAAATTCCAGATCCTACAAATCGTCTTCCGAACACATATTTTCCAAAAATTGTCGTTGGGTGCCCCTGATAAATGTTTAAAAACATATCATGAAACATTGACATGACCCAGTTCTTTAATTTCAGTCAACAGTCCACACAAAAAGTTACTTAGCTAGTTCGTACAACTCTAAGGGCCACAATGCAAGCTAAGATAATTCAAACGGCTTACCACTAAATGGTTATTTTTTTCTTATCTAATTCCTGATACAGTCATCCCAGGTATTTTGAGAACGGGCCTCTGGAGCAAATGCAATAGCCTGCGAAGGGCCAGACGCATTTCCGGTCGTCGCTTCTCTCCCTATTTTTCGGAGGGAGAGAAGCGACGACCGGAAATGCGTCTGGCGCTTCGCAGGCTACTGGAGCATGAGCAAGGGTATAAGGGCAACTTGACTCTTTTCGAAATTTTTGGGCTTCAGTATTATTTTCCCGAAAATTTTAGATGCTATTTGAAGTTTTCCAAAGCAAGAATTTTTCTGATTCCTCTCTCCATCGCATTTTCGACTCCGAAAATTAGGTTTCCTTTTCTACATCGTCGGAGACCCAAGGGCGATCAGCGGGCCGGGTTAAAAGAAAACGTTCGTCGCGCCTTTTCTCCCGGCCCGACAGACCGCCCCTGGGTCTCCGAGGATACTTTTTCTACGAAAAATGGCTTATTAAACCTGGGGAATGAAATCGCGAAAAATAAAACAGTAGAAAATCGTCGGGAATTTATTTGATAAGCTTTGAAAATTATACATCGATTGGGGCGGTCATCTAGAAATTTTTAGCCTTCTTAAAGCTATAGAAAGTTGCAGGCAATTTTTTCTTCTACGAACAGATATTTTACCAAAAATGGTCGTTGGGTGCCCCTAATAGTGATACCAGCATTGTATTTTCAAAAAACTCAAATTTCATGATGTTTTAAATAGTTTTAAAAGACTTAATTTCTTGTGTGAAATGAAATGATCAGAGTCGTAAAGTAGGTTTCTTGGGTGCCCCCCCCCCCCGGGCCCGATTTTGGTTTCAAATGTAACGAGCAAACCTTTATCCGCCCTCCTAACGAGGGGGCGGGCCTGCGTACCGGGCGCTTGAAAGTAGACGCACTTCGCAAACACGCTTACCCTCGCGCGCTCCGTTCTTTCCCTGCTTACACCCATAATAGAGACTGGTAAGAAAGAATAGGGTGGGCTGGATCGCAGTAAAGTAAAAGGAGGTGGGTCAATAGTATTTTAGAGTACGAGTACCCCCATTTTTTCTCAGGGATAGTAGAGCGAGCAAAACGTGAGCGCCCGTGAAAATCACCCCAAGCGAGAAAAGCGAGACGCGGTGGGGAGAGATTGCGTTTCGCTCGCTCTACTATCTCTGAGTGAAAATAGGGACCACTCGTAGTCTAATAGTGTTTGAGCACTGTGCGAGGGTTGAGTCGTTCAGCTAGTCTTGTAGACTGCGCGCAGTCTCTTATTTATCTTTTGAGTCACAGCGGGGCGGTGGGTGGGTCATTCCTTGATCCTTACTGGGACATTTGGACACTTTCTTCCGTGTCCAATATGCAAATGATTTGAATACACATGTAAAATATGCGATTTTTTCTTTTTTTTACACTTCTGCACTGCTGAGAATTGCATTCTTTCAGTGCACAAACCTGTTTCAAGCTCAGTTTGGTTAATTTGATGATTTTATATCGAAAATGGGCAATTTCAAACCAATTGGTTAATTCCTTTATTCATGTTGCTACCATGGAACCTAAAGAGCCAAAGACAGGGGACGTCAGCCAAAGTCTGGTCCTGTATGAAATGCTTAATGTTTCCACTAAACAAGAACAATAATATTTCAATGTTAGCTCCTGGTATTCATCTGCCATTGAAAAAACCTTGATCACTGAAACACTATATCCACAATCTTTTGTCATTTAGTGGAATAGGCAAGGGGGTGGGGTTTGATCCCACCTAGTCCATTCAGGTTCTTTTGATGCCTAAAATCCTCCTAGAGTACCAATTTCAATGGCCAAGACAAGAGCAGTTCCACACACTGCAGTACTCTTACTGTGGTAATCCAGCACAAACAATCTGCCAGCTACAGCAAAAACCCATGTATTAAGACCCTAGTTTTCAAGAACCTGTCAGGCTAATATTGGCTAAATAATAGGCTATTTCATAATTTATAGTCAGGGTCACCTTAGCACTCAAGAGTGACTGACACCACAAAAAGCAATGACTGGGCACCAGGCAATTCAATAATTTATTTATAGTCAGGGGCCATCCATCCATCTGCTCTGTGACTATAAATTATTTATGTGGGTTAAAACCGGGTTTGAGAACCCAGCAAAAGTGTTCCTTTCCCCTGAATAGAGGTGACCCTTTAATAGAGGTAACAGATTATGTGGACATTTTTCCATGACCAAATTTTGTGTCCCCTGAATAGAGGTGTCCCAATGTGAGAAAACTACAACAACAACTCAAGCAATTAAATGTTAATTTTCTCAGGTGTGTACTTCAATTTATTCAAGTTCAATAAAGGTAACAAAGATCGACAAGATCAAATTATAATGATCAAACCATTTCCTGGTGAACTGACAAAGTGATCTCTTTACTTCTCATCTTTTTCAAATGACCTGAAAATAGAATCTGGAGCAAAACAAAATTATACTGCACAATTCTAATATAGGTAAGTGTGACGTCATATTGCCATGGTAGCCAAAGTTTTGGATGGCAACGGCCACAAAAAAGCAACAGGTTTACATCAGCAAAATAATCACTTTGCACATGACCATGCTTTTTTTGTACATTTCTTAGCTGCTGTTTCATGACTGCCACATGAAACGTTCCTAATTTTAGGCACCCACTTCATAGTACCTGAACACAACACAAAAAATGTTCTTTTTCTTAACTTGGGCCGGGTTCAGACTCCAAACTTTTCATGAGCCGAACCTAATTTGAATTAAGGCCGACCCAAATCATTTAGACCGGCCGAATTGATTCCGACACCAATCTTAATTGCAGCTGAACTATGTTCAAAAGGCGAAAAATGCTCAAATGAATCGCCAAAGTTTGCCATTTCTTGTAGGCTTGAATTTCCGTCAATAAAATTAAAAATATTTTGTGTTGTTCGAGCTATATTTCCTCATAAACTCTGGTATGCTGTTGTAATATTATGCAATAATGTGATTGGTGGGAGTAATGTTACAATGCCAACAACATCTTTTTTGAGCATTTTGTATCATCACAAATTCCTGATGACTGGACTCAACAAGTATTTTTAGCACAATTAATGATGTCATGTGTCATACCGTAAAATTCCAAAAATAAGCCCCTCCAAACTCGTAACGCAAAAAACCCTCCGTTAAATCATCCCTCCAAATATAAGCCCCCCCCCCCTAGGGGCTTGTACTTGGCAATTGCCCTCAAATACAAAGTAATACAAAGCAAAAAAGGTAAATTTCCTTCCAGCTATAACGCCAGCCCAAAGGCAATCGATTCTGAAATGCAAATTTCCTTCCATAGATAAGCCCCTCAAAAAGGGCCTTTGAAAAATATAAGCCCCGAGGCTTATTTTCGGAATTTTATGGTATATTATGACGTCATCAATCATCCCTTCCCTATCAGTTCTCAATATTTAAAGAGGTGGGGGGTTGACAGCCCTGAGACCGTGAGATTGGTGTCATATCCGGGAGACTCTCGGATAATACAGGAGAGTTGGCATATACGGGAGTACTGATATCCAGATTTAAGATCTCAAGAGGTTGGCATCTCTGTTACAGTGGTGGTGCAATCACAATAATTGCATAATTGATTTATACGGTACTGATTCACAACAATCACGATTTGTTAAGTAGTACTTTTGCAGCAGATTGAGTGGAATTTCATCTGTTGCTAGCCAAACATGGTGCAAGACATTTTGCCCTTCCATCATGTATCTGCACTCCTGAAAAACAATTTGTTTAATAAACATTCACACTTAGCATTTAAAATGGAAAGATCGTACATATTTCAATCAGCAACAACTCCACTTTAAGTACAGTGCCATTACATGGTGAGACATTTTGTGTGGGTTTTAAGCACTTTAATCCACTAATAAATGCTTGGTGGGTGATTTCAAAGATACATCTGGCAAATAGATCACTCATATGCAGTAAACATGCGGTCAGATTTACACCAAAACAATCAAGAAGAATAGTTTACTTTCCCTTCTCTGCCTCCTGCGACTCATTCTTAGACCCATGCAAATTTAAGTGCTCACCTGCAGTCGACCCTGGCCCTGAGAATGAGAAATATCCAAAATTTTCAAGCAAACCACTCATGATCAAACAAGGTCATTGTTTCGGACTTCTAACATGAGGTTATATCAGTTACATTTGGCCTGCCCACAACATATTCCAAACATATTTTTAGAGTTGATCCATCTGTTTTTGAAATTGCCAACTAGTGTCTCTTTAAACATGCCTGCACATTACAAATTTCCCATTTTGCTTTGTGTCCTCGATTTCCACTCTCTTCATGAGGGTGCCTGCACCGTATTCATTCCACACATTTCTCTTTTATAAAACCACTGCACACACTGCAGACGGTTTAAAATGAGAAAACCATTCTTCAATTAAGAAAACTCCTATTCTTCTGCAAAATCACGCATCAAGTACAAATTTATACAGGGTGGAACTGTCAGTGAACATTGAACAGCTCAATGAGATTTTCACCTTCTGGTCAGAAAAAAGTTCATTGTATTATATATGGAAAACTGATAGTAAAAAAAAAGTTAGCTTTACTTTTGTTTTTTCATCTAATAAGGGCACCTACTAAAGAGCAACTTAATTGCAGAGAAAAATTTTGCAGTCTAACCCTAACCCTTTACCAGTGAAAGTAAAGAGGTTGTAAGTCGTGTGTTGTTGCATAGTTTACTTGTTTTTGTAGACTTGAAGGTGCATAACATTCATTAGCATTCCTATCATTAGGATCTTATTGAGTGATAAACATTGCATTAATTTATTCTGTCACAATTTGAGAACAGAAAACAAAGGATTGTGCAACATCAGAAAACTTCCAACATAAACTTTAGCACTGTTGTTTTCATCTTTGATGTTTGCTGTCTTGCATAACTGCAGTCTCCCTTACTTTAACCTATGGTTGGAGCTACACTATTGCTTGATAGCATAGTGTTGGCTGATTTTGTAAAAGATAAAGAGTGCCCATTTACGCACGTATTTATCTAGATTTTTGCAGCTTTCCATAATGCAATAATTTCTTTTCCCCACAAAATTTGCAAACAAAGGTCAGTTGGACTGCAAACAGATTGTAATATAACAAATAAACTTGCAAAATGTTGGGGGAAAAACAAATTGCATCATGGTTTAAGTGAAAGTCCCAGATTGCCTCAACATTAATGGTTACTGATTCTAGCCTATAAACATCGCTCTGATTCATTAGACAAAGAAATTTTCCTCCATTTAACTGTACTGTCTTTCTTCACCAAGGCATATATAGGAAAACTGGCAACATTTAGCTGCGGGTAATACCTTACAATGAACTGCATCTTATCCAGGGATGGGGGACAGGGGTTCGCAAACTCCTGGACCAGGTTGTTCAAAGCTGGGTCACAATAACTTAGGGATGGAGTGAAATTTGAATTTAGATATGAAAGCTGATTGACTGGATGACCGAAATAATCACTAGTTCTCTGAAATGAATAAAGAAAATTATATTTTGAAGAACAACAAAACAGAAACTCAAATTAAAACTTAACCCCATGATGGCACTAAAAAATTGGCCTTCAAACAACTGTGTCATGGGCCCAGGGTTTAGGACATGGAAACCATGATGAACTTTGGCTGTGTCAGGCTCTTTGTCCTTTTCCTGCCTTATTTAATTGTCCCCGCAGGAGAAGGCACCCTAGTAGCTCACGCGTATATAAAGAAAAGTACTTACAGTTGAAATATACAGTCTGTATACCAGAAAAAATTTTGATTTGTAGGGGCCGCATGGAATAGTTGGGTAATGATGATGTTTCTATTGTCCACACCCACAAGTAGGAGATGGTTGGGGAGATGTAAAACAGAAAATCTGCGAAGGGACTGCTTAGGTTGATTTTGTGACACTTGTTGTACAGTCGTACTTCGATACTCTTTTGCATTACGTGTTAATGACATTATGTGGAGCAGCTGTTTTGAAAGTTATGGACCAAAAGACACTCATTAAGCACAGATGAAGTTATAAGGTGCTTACAAATCTGTATGTATAAACACTTGGAGAGTTAGCCAGACACAAGTTTATCATTCACAAATCTTTGATTGGAAACATTATTTAACAGACACCCTCCCTCTCTTTGAGGGAATAAGACTCAGTCAACAAACAAGCAAGACGAGTGAATCAACAGCTAGCTTATCACTAGTAGAATGATGGACGATTACAGAAATTCATAAATTATGTGCTGACCTACTCCCTGCCCGCAGATGTCTTTCTACAAGTTCTTTTTAAGCATCGACGTCTTTATAATATTATAGTTCAAAAAATGACTAGAATGAACGAGCGTGAATTGATCAAACCTCTTAATTTCTAAGACTTACTTTCCGGCATGTAAAATGAACTGTATATAAAAAGTGAAAGAGAAATGGTGAAAAAGTCCAGCTTCTGATCAGACCTTTTCTTGTGGTTTAATTAGAATAAAGCGTTCTCAAAACTGAGAATGTTTTGATCAAAGCTGTGTGAATCAAAATGAATCAGTGCATGGAACCTGGCGTTTCCTGTTTTTATCTCACCTATAATTTGTATGGAAAATGTGTGAAAATCTTCATTATCAATTATTGGTATATTTCAAAGAGCAGTTACACAACAACCATTAGGATACAATTGACTGACAACAGAGCTGGGCCAGCTGTAGTGTCAACTATTACTAGTATGGGAAGAGAGCACAGTCAAGATTTTGAGGAATAAAGAGTCATCAGGAAAAGTAGGAAATGGTCACCTACATGTATTCCCCTCCCTATACTTGCACTGTAATAATGTCTTTTTGCATGAGAGGTACTGGGCCGGGTCAATTTAATAAAATCTTTACGAGTGTAGGTATTAGGGCTAGGCCAGAAACTTTAGACCACTTTAGGCCAGAAATTTGACATATTTTTTTGTTTTCTGTTTCCAGTGAGTGACCATCTGGCATAATCATGTATGATTGTAGGAAAACCATTGCTCCAATGTCCCAAAAAATCAGTTTTTAATATTGCTGACTAGGCATGCCAACATTTTACAGCAGCTGACTTACAAAAAAGATGGCTGCAATACAATCTGTGGGTAAAAATGTTGATTGTGACACTGATGCAAAATGCTATGTAAAAAGTTTCAACAGTTCCAAGCTCTATTCAGTGTGAAACTTGACAGCCAGTTGTCTATTTGACCATGCAAGGTTAGCTTGGAAGAAGGTTAGTTTTCTTGATTTTTCTGGTAGACGACCACCTCCCGTAAGCAACCATTTTGTTGTGCACCAAGGGGGGGTCACTTTCAAGAGAGTTGACTGTGTTCTTAAAACTCAATTCATCAACTCTGTAGTTAAATAACATTTTTACGTTTCAACACCACCCCCCCCCCCCCCCGCCTCCTCCATTAAGCCCATGTACCTTTTTTCCAGGTTTCTTTTAAAACTACTTCCTTTGTTTAAGGGTAGTGTCAAAATAATATTATACATGGTTCGAGCAACCCTCCCATCGTTGCACAGCATTAGTCTGTGAATGCAGCAGCCTCTTCTCACCTGCCATCACTAGGATGTTTTTGAGAGAGAAACATCTATGTTTTGGCCTGATGACATAAATCAATGTTTACTAAATTACTCTGGGAGCCATGAGGATGGCTATCCGATTATTTATTCAAATTTGTTCGAGTTTCTGTTTCTCCTTGCTGCCTGTTGTAACATTATGAATTCTTCTGCAAAAGGGTTCCGGAAAAAATTAATGCATCTTAAATAGACAACAAAAAGAAAATGATGTGGCAAATAAGATTTTCTAGGCAGGTTCAGGAAGTTGTTGCTTAAAGATCACAATCACTACATAACCCAATCAAAGCTCCTGACCAGATTTACAACATCAGTGAACATACTCTGGTCCAACATACAGACATCTAGCTTACAAAATGTATTAGAAGTGCAAAGTGACTAGATGGCTGGATAGAACAAAGAAGCACAATGTGGCAACAAATCAAATAAGTGAACTTTAAAAGTAAATTGCTATGTTCAAGATGGATTAAGATGAAAACTGTCCCCTTGCCAAAATTCAGCTTCTTAGAACAAACTGAGGGGGCAGGGAGGTATATAAGCAATATCATGCTCTGCTGACTCCATATAAATCCTTTTGAATTGGACCTGGATCTTTAAATTTTTGTACAATTATCCTAGCCAATTTTCAAAGGATTTGCATGTAGTCGTCAGAGAATAACATCGCTTATATTTCACCACCAATTTAAATCACCAAACTGAGTTTCGGCAAGTGGCCATTCCTGTCCTTTTTTCAATTTCTTAAGCTATACGACAAACCATCCACTTAAATCACACAAGAAAAAGAAGCCCTAATTAAGGCTGTTGAACATGAGCCATCCGGAACTTTTTAGGCTGCTCATTCTTCCCCTTGTGCTAATGACTTATTTACCTTATGTAATAATGTGTAATGAAGTGCCAAGGGGCTGCCAAAATTGGTTTGCTATAACAAGGTTTCGTTATATCTAGGTTCTTTTCCTTATAGTTTACTATTACTGGGATAAACAAAAGGAGTTAGTTACATACAGGTTCGTTATATCAAGGTTGCACCGTATAATATTACCTGGAGCCAATTTTCAGCTGTATCTTGGAAATGAAAGATTTTGATACCCTTTGATAAGAACTGGTCGGGATGTTTTACTTAATATCAGTGCGTACAAAGTGATTCAAAAAAGAAATCAAAGGGTGCCTATGGCTACTCATGGATTAATTATCATAAAAATGAAAGCTGATGTTGAACTTGCAATTAGCCTACCGGTATATTTTAAGTCTGTCAAAAAATGAACATATGTCATAAGAAAAAAAAAACAAAACAAAAGTAAAAAAAAAGGAAAAAAAAGTTTTCCACAGCAGGAGTCGAACCCTGGACCTTTGATGTGTAAGGTCAATGCGTTACCTTTTGCACCAGGACAACTTATGTTACACAGCGTAGTTAAATAATTTTATCTTTAACAATTCTGCACATAGACAGTGTTTGAAGCTGGTAAAGCCATCCTGATTGGCTAATTAGATTGAACTTCCCATTATGAGTGAGTGACAAATTTGCACAGATTCTCAGGGCTGTGCTCTAGCAGAGCTGGGTGGCCCCTGGCGCCTTACTACAAAATCTCAGCTTCTTCATACAAATCATATGCTGGGCACCCTAGATTTTCCAGTTTCAGAGCACTGGGCTCCCCTTCAATATTTTCTTAGAGCACAGCCTTGATTCTCCACAATACTCGCGGATAATCCACAAGTAAAAAGCCTTAACCCTTTAAGGCTACCGTATTTTTTGCTTATAAGGCCCAGCATTATTTCAATGAGAGTTTGCTTGATAGCTCTAAATCTGTCATAATTTTGGGGTGCGTCTTATAACTGAGTATCTTCAGGCGACAAAACGAAATTGAGTCAAATTTTTGACTCTAAAAGCTCTAGCTAATCATCGGTTATCAATGACCTCATTTTAACCTGTCACCACAACCACAGATGTCTTTAAAGAGAATCCAGCTGGGTGATGTACAACATGCTGCTAGATGGTCCTTGAAATAGTGCCAGCAAACAAACAACAGTGTAACAACTTCTGACTTTTGAAATCTGCAGATCCGGCAGTTATTTTGAAATTCCTAACTGAGAATCCAGTTGCACCCTATTTAGTCATATTTGTGCATTATTAGACCAATGCATAACTCATTTACTCTGGCTTTAAAAGAAGTCGCTTACCTTAAGTCTTCTTCAACATGTAGCAATGCAATTTGTCAATTCATGGAAATACATCCAAAAGTTATTTGGTCAAAAACTGGATAGGTCTTATGCAGTTTTGACAAGCTCTCAATCCTTGCATGTTTTAAGCATGAATTTTCCTCTGTCACAATTCAGGGTTGCTACTCATCAGAAAGTTAAAAATTCCCTCACTTTTCACTGATCTTTAAACAGTTTTCACTGACCTTTTATTAATGAGAAACAATCTATGTTTACATTCACTTTAGCTTTTTTGCTAGGCATCAATATTTTTCTGTTCATTTTCAACCTCTCTCGGCTTTTGTGGAAAGAAGAAGGAATTTGGAAGAAAGCATTCACGACGAAAACCACTGACCACAACTACTACATGTGTCAGGCAATGAGTGTCAAATTGATCGCTTTGCAGCATACTTTTCATCTTCTCCAAAAAAAAATGCATTTCAAAGTCTTGAAAACTTATGAACTATAAACCAGAAAACAGCATTCCCTTACTTTTTACTGACTTTGACAACATCAAAGACTTTCCCTGACATTGAAAAATTTTTGTTTTTCCCTGACCGTGGCGACCCTGCAATTGTTCCCTAGGAGCACAGAATGAACCCTGGTTGCCTAATTCTTGCTTAGGGTGGTATATGAAATTTTACTTTTCATTCTTTTTCAGTTGTGTGTGTAGGTGTGCTATGTTAGAGCATTCTTTAGAACATCACCTAATCCTTCTTACTTTGGGTGGTTCTGGCCCTTACTTCATGCCTGGCTCTATTAATGCTAAAACTGAACATACACATACGGTACTGATTGAACAAAGTGACCTCTTACATAGAAGGAGGGCATGTTAAAAATATTTGCTTCCTGTAATGGTTTCATCATCTTATTTGGAATGACAACTGCATGGGGTGCTTTGCATATAACATTCAAAGTGAGTGGGCTTGTTACAAGGGTATAACAATCTGATTGTAAGTTTGCAAGTGAGGAAAATATATTGCATATCTGCTCTCATAAGTTGTAGCTAATGAGACTTTTCCACTTCAGTTATTGAGAGAATGATGGGTAACTGTTAAAAACAAAAGAATGCCCTGTGTCTGCTCCCCCTTAAATGTTGTTGTTTTCTGTGATATGTCGCATGAATTTGCTGCTTTTCTTTAACCAGGAGATCAAATCCTAAATTCCTGTCTGTAGTTTGTTGACTTATGCGAGAAAACTAGCCACTGCTGATTGAGATAAGTCCTTTATTCTTAACCTAACCACTTTTAATAACAGCTGAGTTTGAATACACATCAATCTAAAAAATTCATGAAATAAAAAAAAGTTCTAATAATTAAAATACTGCAACTTGATGGGACCTTTCTAAGTGATGATATCTGCGAATGTGAGGTAGCCTATACTGCATCTTAACTGGCCGATCAACTGCAACTGCGACACTGTGATTCCTTGGTTCTAAGGTCCTGGGTGCCTTAATGTAACTTATGTCTGGCTATGTTGACTTAGACTTCAAATGCGACAAAACCTAGGTATCAAAACAGAACAGGCTTAGCCTTCTTAGAACAACAACATTAGTATTAGTTTTAGTCATCAACTACATTGAAATACTGACCTTGCTTTTGACTGCTTTCGAAAACAAAGGAACCGCAAAATTTAATGTGAACATGGATTCACATGTTTTTTTTTCTTTGACTCAAAAATAATGATAACAAATTTTGCCACAATGATATAAAGCTTTCCGTGAACCTGAATTTAACAAAACACTTTGGGATTTACTTTGGGGGAAACAATGAAATTTGCAATACCCAGTTTTTTTGTACAAACAGGAGATTCCCATATTCTACCCTGGATGTCAAAGGTTTTTTCTTGCTCAATTCCTTTATAAAATCATGCACACAGGTTATTCCATCCTAGGTATTTCGAGAATGGACCTCTGAAGCCAGTGTTCCCGCATTCCGGTAATAAGTAGGAGAGATTCCTGAAGGATGCATCACAAAAAGCAGTTTTATTTATTCATTACGGTAATACAAATAGTTCCTACCTCATGTTCTAGTAGGGCCTGTATCGCCCTCCTCCTCTGCCTCCTGTGCCAGGATATGACTGCTGTGGACCATAACCTGAGGCTGCCTGTTGGTACATTCCCATGCCTCCATAAGCATCATAGCCAGTACCATAACCCTGGGTGGCATAAGAGTAAGAGGTATCATATCCACCGCCATAAGCATCATAGCCGCCTTGGTATCCACCGCCCTGGTAATAACCGCCACCGCCACCACCGGGGCCGCCGCCAGATCGACCGCCCCTGGAACCCCCTCGGCCACCACCCCGACCGCGACCGCCACCTCCTTGTCCTTGGCCAGACTTATCTTTGGGTTCAGCCTTTTTTATTTCCACCTTCTTTCCACAGATGTCGATTTTTTTGATACAACAAAGTTCGTCGACTAAGTCTTCGTCATCAAACTCGACAAAGCAGAAACCACGGTGCTTGGATGGAGCTTGCCCGTCGTCGCTTTTTCGCATTATTAAATCGACGCTGGTTGGAGAGATGTTGCGAAGATTCTCGGCGAGCGCCGATCGGATGTCCTCTGCAGTTGCCGCATCCGCTAAACCGCCAATGAAGATTTTCTTTGTTTTCAGATGAGCTGTGGAACTTTGGTCTTCTCGAGGAATGGCGCGTTTGACTTCGACTTCCTTTCCGTCAATTTTATGAGGACCAGTATCTCTCTTGTACTGCAACACTGGGATTACACTGCTCGGGTCTTTATAAGTTACGTAGCCAAATCCTCTGGACTCTTTGGTGCCGCTGTCGCGGATTACAACACAGTCCGACAGTTCTCCATACTCCTCGAAATATGCTTTCAACGTTTCGTCGGAGGTGCTTCGGTTTAGACCGCCGACAAAAAGCTTCTTCAGTCGATCGTCTGAGTTGCCTTCGCTTGACATAGTTTGAACTTACTGCTTAGAAAGTCAAGTAAAGTGTGTAAAAAGGTTTAAACAAATAACTGTAAAGTCTTACGCGCTGAGTTAAATCGCTAAACTCCACGCGGAACGAAGGACGCGAAAAAGAGGATGAAAGAGAGCACCGCGGAGCTAGAATGCGTAGCACGTGTTCTTCAAGCTTCAAATCTGATTGGTTGCTATTGTTAGATAGGTATGTTTTGATTGGTTCTGGGAAACAGAAGACAAAAGAGAATCGATTATCGATTTCCGACAGCGGGCTCAAATTCAAGATGGCGTTCAAACAGAGGTATTGTAGAAAAGTGCCAAACACTCAAAGATTGCACGAGCATTGCATTATGCTGAAAAATAATTTATTTTTTCAAGGGTTTCAGAGTTCCAGACTGTCCTTGCAGCACGGAAGATAGACCTCAAACATCTTAAGCGACTGTGTTTTAGTGGTAAGCCTTTTGAATTACCTTAGCTTGCATCATATTGATCTTCACAGCTGTTAAAACTAGGTAAGTAACTTTTTGTGTGGACTGTTGACTGAAAAAAGTCATGTCAAAGGTTCATGTGTACACATTTATCAACAGGTATCCCCGATGGATCCGGAATCCGTTCATTGTGTTGGAAGGTGTGTTGCTTAAGTTTGTTTTTCCTCTGGCGTTGCATGATATGTGCATGGTACCTTACAGCGCTGAATACCAACGCTAGGAGTATTCTTAAAATGAGGCATTTTTTGTTGTGAGTGCACTCTACTTTATTGTCTGTGGCTCCTTGTGGGACTCGAATTCATCTCATCTTCGATTAAGTAATGAATTTTATATATGATGGCGTGACCGTGACAAAGGGCACAGGTGACTGTTTCTCCCATAAAATGAAAATGAAGATAAGGAAGATGAAATGAGGCCCTCTTTGTGGGGAGTGGGGATATGTGTGTCCGTAGACAGAATTTTACAACCCTGAACCTTTTTGTTTCTTTCCTTTTCTATTCTGTTTTCATTTTTTATTTAATGATACAGACTTGCACATCGGCATACGGGTACCTCCATCTAACACAGGGTGTTGATATTACATGCATGCCTGTTTATAGAATGGGGTGTCAATTTTTCGTTGCAAGTAATGTATATTGGCAGATAAGAACTGGACATAGGTAAAGGATCATGAAATTTCTTTAGGATGAACTTGTTACAGTTACAGTTTGAGATATTAGACAGGGTCGGCCAGGGTTTTTGGGTATACGGTATACAGGGGCTTTTTAAATCGGGTATATGGTATATTGCAGCTTAAATATGGGTATTCGGTATATCACTTTCTTTGAATTTCAGGTATAAAGTATACATGGGTATAATTTTGGGTATATTTGGATGAATTTTGGGTATTTTTGGGTATTTTGGCGAATTTTTTGGTATACCACTATCCCCCGTGGCCGACCCTGATTAGACAATAATTATTTTCTCATAAAATTGTCAGCGTTAGTCTTTATATTGATAAGACATGTGTCTGTTGCATTTTTTCTGCAAGCCTGTTGAATACAGACATCTGGATAATATGAACACTACTGTATGTCCAGTGCATGTCCCCATCAACTGGGTTCCACTGTATATTGAAAGTCAGCTGAGAAAGAGTCAGAAGTCAAACAGTGTTAACAGGGTTGTTCTTTTCTTATAAATACCAATGAACATTATTATTTTTGAAGCTTCTTTTAGGTTATCTTCCTTCTCAGAGGGATCTTTGGCCTGAGACTCTCAAGAGACAGAGGTCTGATCAATTAGCCTTTCTTTAATCTTACCAGTATCAAAATTGAATATAAGATATCAAGTCCATTAAATCATCTATAAATCAATCAATCAACTTGTGTTGTGTGATTTGTTTTAGTATTCCTGCTTATTGAGGACATTAAAAGATAACGAGAAAATTTGTTTTAAAAAATGCACAATAAAGTCTTAATGAATTACCATGTATCAGTACACCATCTTATGAGGCAGCTTGGCCTAGTGGTGAGAGCACCAAGGTTCCAATTCAGAGACCCTGAGTTCTAGTACCATCCTGATTGCTAGCACGATTTGTTCCCATAAGTCCAGCGTTTTAAACTTGTTGGCTATACACGTGGATAGCCAACTGGTTTTCCTCTGGCCAGTTGGGATTCTATTTATTGCGGGTGACAAGAGGATCCCACAGCCCTAATCTCTAGGTTGTTATTACCCATGCATTGAATGTCTATTGCCAACATTTGCTTGGACTTCGACTAAGAATGAATGGAATGTACAGAATGCAATTTGATAAAGCCTGTTTCAACCTTCTGCCCCTCATAATCTGATCACACGTGTTTTGACCACCTGTTATGAGGAACCTATGCAAAGCACTCACTGCATTGGAGCAAAAGCATTTGACCTTAGATCGTTGTCACCCGTACTCCTTAACCTTTGGATGTTACTAGTTTATTATGTCTGCTTCTGTCTTTATTTGTGGACCAAAATGTAAAGTTAAGTGTTACCTGTATGACTGCATTTGTGAAGTTAGGATCAATTTTGTGCAATGCTTTTTCACTGCAGTCAGTACAAGTTTAATTTCTTTTTCCTAATTCTTAAATATTAAGGACTAGGGGACAGATTTAGGAAATTCAGAATCAAACTAGCTTGTAACATCTGCATGATCAACCTGACATCAACTACTTTTTCACTGATGAAGATGGAGAGATTGAGACAAAATCTTTGAATTCAATAATTCAAATAATATTGCCCTTGGTCAGGATATTTTGTGGAACATTTCTGCACATTTGTAGAAGGGGAAGTTGCTATAAAATGCTAGTTTTGGCCTACTCCTTTGTTTACTACATTATTTCAGTGAGTTTTTTTCTTTTTTATATCTGTTTGTTTTCAGGTCGACTTACAGGCAGTTTGTTCAGGAAATAATCATTGAACAATGCAAAGGAACAAAGTCTGGCAAGGATTCCAAGGAATTTGATGTTGATCATGTATGTAAGGAAGTGTAGTATGTTATAACTGAACAAGTGCACAGACAAACTTCCAAATAAATACAGAATGTGTGTTGTATCTAGAAAAATAATTTAAAAACACATGTCACATTGATTAATAAAAAAATTAAGATAATGATTATTATTGTTATGGAAAATCTTTTTTGCAATAAAAATCTTTAATAGTTTAAAAAACATGTCACATTGTACATTAACAGAACTCAAGATGAATCAAGGTGATAAGCCATATTTAATTTTGTTTGAGGTGAAGATGTTGTAGGTAAAATCTGTTTTCAAGTAAAACAAGAGTTTGCTTTGTCTTCTTTTATGACCAGGAAACAAAGGAAATTTTGAATCAAAATAGGTTGAATTCTGATTTAACCTCAGAAAAAATTTTACCTACAACAGCGATTTGGACACAACTTTATTACTTCCCCAAAGAGAATCAGTATGGTTTTAAACACTGCCATGTAAGACTCCAGGAAGTGGATGAAGAAAAATGTTAACAAGAAGGGCAAACATTCTGTATAGAATTGTAAAGGGAAATTTATCTTGTCATAATTGGGTGAGGTTATAGAGAAGAAATGTTTTACATATACATACATACATACACTTTATTGATGCTCCCTAAGTGGGCTTTTCAGCTCAATAGAATAAAAATACAAATTTATATAAATTAATTAAGAATGTAAGTACAATAATATTATAATTACAAAAAATATATCAACTTAGTAAAACATTTGCAAGATGACGCCTAAAATTCCTGGGGCATTTTAAGGACTTAATATTATCATTCAAAGAGTTCGAGAGTTTGGCTCCTCTGAAAGCAAAGGAGTGCTGCCCTGTTGACAGGCGACATAAAGGTATATCCAAAGCACCAGATGATCGAGTTTGTCTATTATGGACTTGAGAACGTGATTTAAACATATCAGCAAGATAGTCTGGAACAAGCTTGTTAATACATTTGTGCATCATAGTAGCATCCCTGCCGTTAAAGGGTATTATTACTGTAAATGAAAATAGAGCGAGGTAGCCATTTATTGAGATAGCGGGGATAGCCTTACAGCACCAATGCTTTTAAAAAGCTTCATTTAGAATGGGTTTCTCTCTAATAGGAAGCCATTTCAACGGTCGCAACCCATCCGAAATATGGTCATACTTTCTTAGTCCCAGAATAATTCGTCCAGCAAAGTTTTGGACTTTTTGTAACTTGTCAATATTGCTGCTGCTGGTATTACTCCAGACAGTTGAACAATATTGGAGTTTACTAAAGACAAATGAATGTAGAATTTGTTTTGCAGTATGTGCAGGGATTTTCCTGCCTAGGGCTTGAAACTGCACCTGATACTGTTGCCAGTGTGAATAAGACTTCAGCCTTGGCACCTTTCGGGAGTTCTATAAAATTAAACTAGTGAAGTTAAGAAACATCTGCCCTTATTGCTTTGCCACAAAGAATGTGGTCTGATCAAGTCAAAACAATTATCAATTACCTTGCAATGAGCTGTTGATTCAGGATGGACTTGCTTGGCACACTTTAGTCTCCTATTTTTTGTGGAACAAGATTTTGATCAGAATTTTTGAGTCAACTGTTCATGGTTTTTTGCCTTTCTCTCTGGCCTCCTCGGTCTGATTCATGCTCATTCAATGAAAGATATATATTTTTCAGTACAAGTTAGATGAGAAAGTTGTTATTGACTGATAAAACTGATAACATCATGCGTGGTACTAGGGACGTGGATTAGCACAGGCGGTTCAGGGGAGAATGGGTTAAGAAAGGTTCTTTTATCATGATGTGACACTTATACTTTGTTAACACAACCACCCTGTAAATACCATCAAGTCCTGTGGTTTTATAAGATTAGTTCCTGTGCTTTTATAATTAGGGTGGAAATTACTTTGATATATGACATGCAGTTAAAATGTGATATGCATGTAGTATTTTGTTTATTTGTAGCCCTTGAATCCTAACCCAGACAGTAATTGGCTAGCTTTCTTTAAAGACAATGAAGTGTTGCTGCAGATTGACAAGGATTGCAGGTAATAATCCTCCTCACATTCCATCCTGTTGAAACATTGCTATTGTAATTTTTAAATGTTTTGAACTCTTTAGGAGTTATGTCATAAGAAAGAGAAGTTCTCTTATAAAGGCCCTGTCTACATGTATACATCTATATTTTAAAAGGGAGATTTTTCCCTCTGCTTTCAAAACAAAAAATGTTTCTGTGGTAGTTAATTTTTTATGTCAGGTAATTTTTATTTTTTCGTTGTTTTTGGGTACTGTATTATATGCTAATGAATTTGAAGCAAATGAAAAACAAAAATTAACTGAAATAAAAAATTTATTGCAACATTTCCACATGTGGTGTATATCGATGGAAACATGATAGCATCCCTAACAGAGCATGTGTAATGCTAGTAGAATATGATTTATGACATCATTGTATTTGAAAAACTCCATTTTCATCCATCCACATGAAAACACAAAGCAAATCTCTGCTGTGAAGAGCGTCTTTGAAAATATGCATTTTTGGTGACCTTTTCCGCTAGATACATGTGGATGGTGCCTTAGTCTTAATTTAGTGCTCTGATTTTCATTTTGGTCTCCCCACAAACAAACCTTTATCATGGCCACCATTGATTACTATAATCTTTTGATTAAGCTCACTCATTAGTGTACCTTTGTTTTTTGTTTCTTCTGTTAACGATCACTTCACCGCCCAAGATTTACCTAAATTAATTAGTAACGTTTATAAGACTATTTGTAGCTGCAAAAAGCTGGTCAGTGTCATTTTTCAAAACTGCATGTCTGTCTGTCTGCAACCATTAGGCCTTTTGCAATAGTAATTAAGTATATATACACATGTAAACAGTTTATAATATTGATACTTAGTGTAAATAAGTTTTCTATCCTGGGATTTGAAACCTCGTTTACTCTAAATACTTGAACAATTTGTTTTGAGAAAATAATTTTAGTAGGAACTGATCTCTGGAATTGACATAACAGAGAAGAAACAGTTACTGTTCTCCTTAAAAGAAATGGTTAAAATGAGAAAAGAAAGTGGTGTTTCCTTGAAGCTGCCTTCAGGTGTTCTTTTATTCTCTCTCATACTCCCCACCCTTCCCCCCCCCCCCACTCTACCCAAAATGAGTGCCTGATTGAAGGTAAGATATCCTCACAATATCCTTATTATTTAAAAGTGGGAGCATGGGGGAGGAGGGGTGATTATTTGAGTAGATTGATTACTTTGTTATGGCCATTGGGGTAGGTGCTTTTTTTGATATTACAGTGGAACTTTGCCTTATATCCACCCCACTTATTAGTTATACGACCACCTTGTTATCAAGACTACATTCTTTACACCGGCCCCGTTGATATGACCAACTTGTTATTACAACCAGGATTTTGTGGCCCAACATTGGTCATATTAATGGACTCTACTGCAATGTAGTTTTTTTCTTATTTTTGTTTTAAAAGGAGGCTTTGTCCTGATATTTCATTTTTCCAAATTGCTACAAAATACCCAAACAAGGAAGTTATAGCTGGTAAGTGATGGAAAGTGAGGGATACTGGATCCATAGCAAGTTAATCGATTCTCTTTAAATTTGCTTTTCTCAGTCGTGTTCTGTGAATGAGAAACACCCCCTTGTTGTCTTTAAAGTTAGATAACCCTTCTAATAATAAATTGTTTAAAATAGACATAAACGTTACCTGTGTACCATCCTTTTTTGCTGGGAAAAAGCCTAATTTAATCTATTTTCACTGCATACAAGTCATTATAATCAGGCATGAACTGAAGAGAGCAGCGGCTAAGGACTAGTAGGGAAGGGAAGAGCCATACAACCTACATGTACTCCGCCGAATTTAAAAATAACTTTACCACAGTTGTTGGAAAAAAATAACATGTATAAAGTAGCATGTGGGCAATCAGGATCAAAGTCCCTAATCTTATTCTTGTAAAATTCTCTGCAACATTTTTTGAAACATGACAGGCTTAGGTCTTCAGTCCTAACCTTCTTGGGTGAATTATTCCATGGGTGAAATAAAGAATTCCATTTAAAAGTGTTCTCTTAAGCAGTTTGGTTGTCTTAGTGTATTTCTTGAAAAGAACCTTAGTCTACTCATTTTCATGTTTCATGTACAATAATCTTTGTCAGAGAACATTTGATTGCAGGTTTGGTTAAAAATAAGCTGTTTTTTTTTGTGACATGTGTGATGATGACCAAGAACGTTGTTAATATTCTTCAGGAAATGACAGAGAGTTTGAAACTTTAAGAGAGCGAGTGTTAAGAACCCACCTGGAGGCATCTCAGGTCAACACCAACAGAAGTGGATTAAAAAATGTGAGGAAAAGAGACTGTTGAATTTATTTTGTTTGCTTACAGCTAGAGTCGTAGGAGTGAATATTATCATCTGTGAAGGAGCCCTGTCAGGGTAATGTGAAGATATTTATTACAAAAAGGGCTTGCCTGTTGAAGTTTACTAGCCCAGTGCAGTTTTGTAGGCCAAGTAATCCCCTTTTTGCTAAGTTACTGTATTTATTTGGCTATAAGCTGAGCAATTTTTACACAAAGTAATGCTAAAGTTCAGTGAAATTTGAGCCCAATAGGGGTCTCAGCTTACAGCTGGGTGTTTTGGATTAATCTTTCATTCTTGGTTTTGCTGATTCTTCGAGTTCAAAGTTAAGGGTCTTAGCTTATGGCCGAATAAATACAGTACTTTATCTTGACGAATGTTGGTTACCCATTGGACAAGTCGTTATTAAAACATGTGGCCCAACAGGTTCCTTCACTGACCCATATTGATGAAAAGCGAGTGCATGCTCAAAGTTGTATGTGTTACTTTCTATACAACTATATTTTGTTTTTACCTTATTGTTTTTTAAAGCTTTTTGAATTTACAAAAGCATTGAAAGATGATGTGGAAATGGTTTACAATCCACTTTGAGAAGGCAGCGTGTTCGAGCGGTTAGAGTGTTGGACCTACATCCAGAGTCCTGCCCTGACTGCTATCTGGATTTGTTCTTAGTAGTCCTGAGTTTATCTCCTCTGTCACGCTTTAAATAGCCAACTTGTTTGCCTCCAGCCAGTTGGGATTCTTAACCTCGTTATTTTCCATTTAAAGGAAAATAAAGGGAGATGTAAAGAATCAACCATAAGAGGACACAGAAAAAATCTGAGCGCCAGATGGGATTCGAACCCATGACCCTCGGTGTTCTAGATTGGATGCTCTAACCTCTGAGCTACTGAGGACTCATTGGCGAGCAAGGGTCATTTTTGTGGGTTTTTTGTGGGTGTCCTCTTATGGTTGATTCTTTACATCTCCCTTTATTTTCCTTTATATATTAATATCAGTGGCATAGGTTGGTTGGTTGGAGGCTCCTTAGTGAGACATTTCCTACTATTAATGTGACTGTGTGATACACTAAGCCTTATGTGTTGCCTGTGATGGACTGTGTGACTGCGAGATGTGGTATATAAGTCCAACCCACAAAAATGACCCTTGCTTGCCAACGAGTCCTCAGTAGCTCAGAGGTTAGAGCATCCGATCTAGAACACGGAGGGTGGTGGGTTCGAATCCCATCTGGGGCTCAGATTTTTTCTGTGTCCTCTTATGGTTGATTCTTTACATCTCCCTTTATTTTCCTTTATATATTAATATCAGTGGCATATTTTCCATTTAAATTTTTTTATTTCATTGTCTCTGAAAAACCCCATAAGGGGAGAGGATAATTAAGTATTTATTATTATTATTATTATTATTATTATTATTATTACCATTATCATTGAGACCAAGAACGTCTTATTCAGCGAAAAGATTTTTTTGGAAGGAAAGACTTTGCAAAAATTGAGTTGCATTTGCCATGGCACATGCACCTGACAACAGTCTCATTATTCCTCTGCTATCTGTGAGCCAAATAAAAAGTTGTTATCTTTGATTATATTATATAAGAAATGGTAAATGTTGCAGCTGGGCAACCATGAAGTTATAGCTGCACTTAGGAGGTTTTTGTTAAGAACTCATGCAAGAAGCTAAAGTTTGCTCTTTACAGTAGCCTGCGTAGAAGGTGTCAGTAAGTTTTCTTGGCTATGTAGTTTTTTTCCCTTGTGTGCAGATGGGTCCTGAAAATTTTTCCCTTCGCCAGTGCCTGCTATGCAGGCTATCTCAGCTATGCCTCCACCACCTTTTTTGCTTCTTTCATGCATAGCAACCTCCCACATACATTGATTGCAAAATTCGCTGGTTCTGCGCTACACGTTTACTGATGAAACAGTGCACTAAGACTATGAAACACTTTTGGGAAGTAACAAAATACACATAGCCCTCTACCTTAGATTTACCCTGTGAGCAGAGTCTCCTTTGATCTTCCTAGATAACTTGGGAAGAGGACTCTTCTCGACTTATCTGGGAAGATCAAAGGAGACTCTGCTCGCAGGGTACCTTAGTTTTTATTAAGAGAGGAAACTTGTTTTACTTTACTCTTTGTTCTGTCAGTTGTCTGCTCCTAGAAAGATTGCCTCTGAGGAGTACCTTGTACTTGGAGATGACGAAGAAGCTCATTGGGAGGTGACAGAAAACTTTTTCCTTTGTTTTGTTTTCCCTTTGTGGGCAAACTTAGTCCATTTTATAATAACCACTAATCTTATTTTTCACCAAGTGAGAAGGTCTTTTGCTTTAGTTAGCTATGTGTTTGACCTACCTTTACTTATTTGTATGAAACTGTGTTCTTGCTGGTTTTTCTACAGTTGTTTTGCAAGGGTTAAATCTCAGAAAAGATTGTCCTTTCACCACAAAAAGGTTGGCCAGTTCAAACCAGAGAACTCATTTTCTGTTAAAAATGAGAAAAATAGTAAAAACTGGTGAAAAACAAGTAGCACTATGCTAAGACCTTTCTCTTATTTTGAACTAATGGTCATATCATGGAATTTTTGCACCAGAGGCAGTGATAAGAGCCGACGCAGTTACATTGTCCCAATCCAAATTATCTTACATGCATTACTGATTTCTTTCATTTCAACTGGCTGATTGGCCCTTGGTTATTTAGAGCTCTGTGTTTAATTCTGTAATTAGAGACTGAAACGAAACACTCCTTTTTGTAACTTTCAGGTTGTTGAGAGAATATTGTACATTTATGCTAAATTAAATCCTGGTTTGGGTTATGTTCAGGTAGGAGATTTCTCCTCTTAGTAAATATGTCATGATATATGTTATATGTAGCTGTACTTACACCTCAAAATAAGAGTGTCAACCGATAAGATTTTTGGATTCTGTTCTTGATCAGCAGTTATTTGTCACTCCTTTTTTGTAGACGAGAATTTTTAAATCAGTCGCAGTTAGGCCCCGTCCGCATGTATCCGTTTTTGTACAGAGAGTTTTTTTGCGGTTTAGCTTACCGAGTAGTCATTATAATTAGTTGTTTAAGTGTTGTAGATTAGTTGTTAAGTATTGTCATTTCAGTTGTGAGTTCTCTGACTGTCCTTTTCTTTCTTTTGATTTAATAGTATTGTAATTATTTTAGTTAAATCCCGTTTTATTCATGTAATTCTTCACGTTTTTTTGCGGACCTTAGGCCATTTTAGCCCCCGGCTTTGGTTATTCTCATGTATTTTTCCGAGTGTGTGATATGTAATGAAGTTAAGTTAAGTTAAAGTTAAGTTAAGTTAACACACGTACTCCGCGAAAACAGTCACCGAAAATGCATCTTGTCAAAAACGTTCTCCAGAGTGAAGACTTTTCAAAACGCTGGCTTCTCGTCTACGTGTGGACAGACGAAAACGGAACTTTTCGAATACGTGATGTCCCTGAAAACGATTCGAATACGCTACGTGTGAACGCGTAGTATGTTTTTAAAAAAGGGAGGAAAAAATCTCCGTTTTCAAAAATCTCCGAATACGTGCGGCATTTTGGTTGCTGTACATTCTTCTTATCGATCAAATGACTGCTTGGATTTTGTGAAGTGCAACTTTGCTTTTTGATGTCTTGCAAATAGTCAGGACTAATAGTAGCCTCTTACGCAGACGGTCTTAGGGGTTCGTCACGCGTTCCTGTCCCACCAAATGGGGCAAGAACGCGTGACGAACCCCTAAGAACGTCTGCGTGGGAGGTTAGACTAATAGTACCTATCTCTATGGTTTGTTCCATATTTGATGAAAAAGGCAGCGAAAGTTTATGTTATCTGTGCTTCTCTTTTTTTTTTCAGGGAATGAATGAAATAATTGGTCCACTTTACTATGTGTTTTGTTCTGATCCAAATCCTGAATGGCAAGGTCAGTAGTTTGAATAGTGGTAAAGACCTATAATCATTTACAATAACTATGCTATTTAACCTCCAATTTCTTTTCATTTTCACAGAAAATGTTGAAGCGGATGCTTTCTTCTGTTTTACAAATTTGATGTCTGAAATACGAGATAACTTTATCAAGACCCTTGATGACTCGGCTTGTGGAATAGGTACGATTACAACCGGGATTTAAAGACAGTTACTTTAGGGTTACCGTATGGTCAGTGATAATATTTAAGCCATTACAGGCCCAGTATATCAGTCACACAAAGTAGCATCTGGCACAAGCATCTCTACAAAAAGAGACCAGGTTTCCAAAGGGTTTAGTCTGCACTGTGTGGTTTTCGGCAGTTAAATGTTCTATACAATTAGGCTACATTAACTCTGTTAGAGAGAAACTCGACAGCAGAAACAACTAGCACCACTGATCTGGTCCCATAGATGTCTAGTTTACAGAGACTTCACTTTCAATTCATTTGCTCATGGGACCTTTTCACTTTAATTGGTTGGGCACTTGACTTCAAAGCGGTAGATTTTAATCCGAAGATGCTCTTTGTCAACTGTGTTTTAGGAAATATGATGAAAAGTGTCAGGAACTTGTTAAGAGAGAGAGATCTCATGTTATTCACATACCTGGTAATGTTTAGGTTATCAAGAAGTAGTTAAAAAGTGAAAATTTTAGGATTGGTGGCAAGGTTAAAGTAATCATAAATTGTTAGTTAAGAAATCCCCCCCTCCCCCCGCCTCCGACCTCCTGTACGATGAACTTAGTTTTTGAGTCCCCTGGCATTTTCGGGAACTTAAATTAGACTAAATCATAAGAAATTTCGCAAAGGACACCTTTTCTCTTTTCTCTCTTTCTGAAAATATCTACCGCGGCGCTTCTGAAAAAACATTTAAGAACATTTCTTTCATTTTAGGAAGAACAAGAGATGAGTCCTCAGTTTTATAGTTTTAGGTGGCTGACGCTGCTTTTATCTCAGGAGTTTGCTCTTCCAGGTGTGTAATTCACTGTCCTTTACAGTGTGCTGAATCCTGTGCGTATTGTTATTCGTGATTAGGGGCATACTGTAAGCAACTACCATCAGCGGCGACCGTAGGGAAAGCATCACTAAAAAAGTGAATTTGCCTTGTTTCAAACTTCACCGCTATTATTCCATATCGTTGAACTTTTTAAATGCAGGGGAATTTTATCTGGAGTTGAATTGTTAAGGACTGTATTAGCTTTCAGTGAAAGAAAACGAAAAACGTGAAAAGTGTTTACGTCCTCCCTTAAAACTGAATGAAATTGGGAAATTTCTTGTCTAGTCTTGCACTAAAAGATCTGGTGCCGCACTTGCAAAGTTGTTGTTTAGCCGCTTTTTAAACCTATGGCTTCTTTTACGTTCTCGTTACTATTACGTTACTATTATTGCTGTCGTTGAGGTGGACATTTTTTCCTCTGTTTTATGTCTGACCATTATTTTTTCATTTCAGACGTTATCAGAGTATGGGATTCTCTGTTTGCCGACGAGAAACGTTTCGAGTTTCTCATTTATGTCTGCTGTGCTATGCATATGTGAGTTTGATAAAATTACTGTGAACTGAGGACTTTTCGTAAGTCTTGCGTATTGTTAAGGTTTAGTTCAAAATTAATCAATCCGGGTCATGCAACCTGCTCCAATCCAACGAGTTCTCAGAAAAAAAGATGTCTGAAGACTGCTAAAGATGTGTAGATAAATCAGTATGCCACTTTGTGATAACTGTAGATCCTTCTTTCAGCTAACAAGTCATTAAATATCCGTTTATTCATATTTTAGAGTTATAAGGGAACAACTTCTTGCTGCAGATTTTGCTACAACAATGAAGCTTCTTCAGGTACTATAGATAACATCTGTTTCATTGCAAAGCTGTGTATTTTTATGCTGTCCGCATTTTATAGACGAGAGTGTACAGTGGGTTATCCCGCCTTTGTTCTTCGTTGACAGTCTTGTCTGTGATAACCCCCGCATCTTGCTACAATCTTGTTCGTCCTGTTTTTGTTTGTTTGTTTGTGGTATTTTTTAGTCCTTAGATAGTTACACTTAAATATTTTCAGCGTTCTGTATTTTACGGCCGGCAATAATAGACCCTTTTACTAGGCGTTTCTCGACTTCTGACTGGGACCAGTTAGCGAAGATCCGTAAACACGGCTTGAAAGGTCTCCATAAAAATGTCAAGTTCGTTCAAGTTCGTACCTCTCTCTCCTCCTCCCCCCCGCCACCATATAAACGTCTGTAAAATTTCGTGACTTTGGTGAGCAATATCTTCGCTCGCTTTTAATGTATCACGTAATAAACTTAGAAAGTTTTCTAATTCAAAAAACCGTGGAAGGGTCTTTTGGCTTCACACTGTTGCGGTTAACGGCGGTATGGTAACTTGTTTGGCGAAGTATGCGACATTTCAAAAAAAAAATTCGTGAAATGATGGTTCATGTCGCCTTTGGTTTCTTTCCTTTTCAGAATTATCCAGATATTGATATCCACACAATTCTCTCTAAAGCAATGGATCTCAAAAGACCCAAAGCAGTGTTTCCCAATTCCCCTCGGACGCAACAAAGACAGAAGGCTGGGTTCAATTTCAAGAAGAGATGACACTGGCTTTCATCAGATTATCCTAGCATTCATTAGAAACCTTTGGATTTCAGGACGAAGACGACTAACGGGACGAAAGTTAAAGGTTTTTTTCGCGTATTTTCAAAAAAATAAGACACCGAAAAGCTTCATTTTACTTTTTTTCACCAGAAAAGCTAACACAGTTATTTTTAATGGAAAATGTTAAGCCCTCTCCCGAGCGTAGAATGCCCAAACTTCTAACATTCTGTAGCTACGACATTCTCGTTTAACCCGACGTAGAGTGACGACGGCGACCACGTTTTCCCGCCAAAATGACGTTGGTTCATGTCCGCATTACTTAGTATTGAGAAAATTTCGTCCTCGTAATCTTTGTCGTGTTAGAATCTAAACGTCTCTTTTGATAAAGTTCCAAGAATGAAGGACCTGGATTCGGAACCGGTTCAGAAAAAGAAAAAAGTTTTGATTAGCATACTGAATTTAATTCTCAATTAATTTCATCGATTTGAGAATGCCAAAATTAGAATTTTCATGCAAAAAATATATATGTATATTTGTAAAGGTGATAAAGGGCTGATCTGTTGGAATGAAATACTGCCATCTTTATGAAGTGATTCTTGGGTTCAAACCTTTCATTGTTATAGTAAGTGAGAAAACAGAAAGTTATTTGATTTCTCAGGCGAAAGAACCTTAAAATTCTTTCACAGTTTCCAAAGTTATTTTGAATAAAAAAAAATGTAAACTACAATGTTACAGTTTGTAAAATATTACGAAGCAGATCAAGCTATTAGAACTAGGTTGAGAAAAATACCGCTATTTTGTTGGCTCAGTTGTTAAATGAGTTGTTGTTTTAGGTCCCTTCCACACGAATCCGGGCAGGCTAAAACCGCTCACATAAACGCCATTTACATGCGCTAAAAAAATCGGCACGGCACGCCAAGTTTTTGGCACCGTGCCTCGTTTACCCTTGCCGAGACTACCTCCGGGAGGTAGTCTCGGGACCCCTAAAATTTTGAACACTGGTGCCATATTACATTTGGGACCGACACGTTTACACGTCGAAAATTGGGAGTGCCGTGCCTTAAAATCGTCAGCACGGTGCCAAAAATTTGGCGTGCCGTGCCGATTTTTTTAGCGCGTGTAAATGGGGTTTTAATTGAATTCGAAAACATCCCATTTCAATCGTCTACACGAATTCGCAAATCCGTCGCAAGGCCATTGTGAACACTCCATTGTTTCCTTACAAAAGTTATCGGTACGATACCACTTTTTTGACGGATCGGGACCAAATTTTTCTGCAGTGTAAACGCCTTTGGTGTGAACGGAAGGCTGATTCGTGTTGGCGGGGCCTAAGATATTATATCTTGGTGCCAGAGATTTTTCATACCCAGTTCCGGTTTCAGTCGAGTCTTTGTAGCGACTCGTGTGAAATTTTCCCGCGGCTTCGCCGGATCTTTAGTCGAAAGGGTGTCTGCCTCCGGGCTCCGGCCGACTCCTAAGCATCCCCCCACGCGGGACGGGAGATGAAACTTCTGGTACCCAGAGCGGTTAAATATATTCAAAACGCTGAAAACGAAATCACAGAAAATTTAATTGTTTGTATCGGTATTTTTGTTCTTCTTTCTTCTTTCTTGAGTTCTGTTGGTTTTTTTTTTTTTTTTTTTTTTTTTTTTAAACAGAAAATTAATATAAATATAATGTGCATTCAGTTGATTAGTATTATAATCATCCTTTTATTGATATCCATATTGTATGTGTGATATAACGCTGCTGTTTGCAACCCAAAAGTGATAGAGAATTCGTGGAAAGTTTATGACTGAAAGGAATAGACTGTATGTATGAGATTATACTTTGTAATAAAACAAGTTACAAACTAGCCACTGGCTTTTGTTTTCTCTAATCGATTTGCGTAAAAGGTTTGTCAAATGATGTCAAGTTTGCATAGGACTGTTGCCTCCCCAGTAAAGTGGCGTCTTCCCTTAATCCAGATAATCTGAGAGTAACTCTTTTAAACGATTAATATTGTTTGGTCACCCCTCTTTTTGCTCTTTAATTTAATGTCGTTTAATGAACCCAAATTCTCGCTTTTTCCTAAAGTACTTTTCTGCCAAAAATATTTAGATGCTCGAACAGGTTTTACTTTTAGGCCCAGTTCAAACGTTGATCTTTTCACGTACCCAACCTAATCCCTTCAATTAAGCACATGAAAAGATGGACGTCTGAATCAAGTAAGTCCGGCATATCTAATTTGGGACGGTCCATGAATTAGGCTCAGTCGGGTGGCGGGAATATCGACTGTATTTCAAACGTCGAACTTTTCATGTGCCGAACCTAATGCATAAATTACTATAATTTATTTTTACTGATGAACATTGAAGACCAAAAATGAATTGAGTCCGGCTCATTTAGTTTGACTTCTGAATCAACTGACCGTCGAACTTATATCATTTAATCGGCCCCAAAAGCTATGAAGTTCGGTACACGAAAAGTTCGACGTTTGAAGTGGGCTTAAGCATACAGTCAGTTATCGATCCACCTCCGATTTCTCAATCAAACCTCCCGAAACTCATAACCGACATTTTTAACCTCCCATTGTATCGGACATGGTTACTATTTGCCGTAACCCTTTCGTGGTACCTGTTTTTTATTCCGAAAAAACAAGTTGTAAATAAGTAAAGAGTTGAACGTTCTAGTCGTGCGATGTTTCCACATCATTGTATTAGCCAAAATTCGCAAAGTTAGTGATTAGTACCTGCTTAATTTTGCGTTGAATGTGGCTTTCACCTCACTACCAGCACGTTGCTCGCTTACACTTCCCTTATAAGCAAACGACTACGGATTGTCAGAGAATCAATTCCTTGTTACACTGACACTACACTACTTACAACTACACTAAGTTTCGCAACTTTGTCCGCTGCGAGACAAGCTGAACGAAGCCGTTGTGTGGTCAACTCCCCCTGAAAAGTTGATGTCTCGACGTTTCCATAATGCAACATACAGGCGTTGCGAGAACTTAAACTTGATTGAAGTCTTCCGCTTCGACGAGCAATTCGTGCAATAGTGCTGCAACTAAAGTGACACGAGACAGCTCCCGGGCATTTTCAGGGGGTGTTACCTGGCATAATTAAGCAAATTTTCTTGCAAGTTGTCTTGCAGCAAAATTGCGAGGCAACTTCCACCCAGAAATTCGTCTAGTGTAACAGGGCACTGGCTAACTGAAAATCAGATTTTCTCAAGCGTCTTATAAACGAAAATTGTTTTATTCTTCGGTGTAAATTTTTGAAATCTAAATGTTGATGTTCTCTCAACGTTTTGCTTTAAGCTGATTCACGTTTACTAAGCTAGCCTTGTCACGTCCATCATGTGTCCATGCTGCATGTTACAGGCGCTAAACTGAAAAACGAAACAGTCTCGTGCACGTCCGTAGGACGACGACGACGATAATGATGATGATAATGATGATGATGATGACGATAGAAATATCTTAATTGTCACGTCAAAACTTTTGGACACCTCTAAACTAAATAACACAAAATGAAAGAACAAGTGGGTGAAAAAGCTAAATTGCAAGAAAGCCTTTTTTCACTCGCTGACGTTAACGATATATGATATAAAGTGATCAAGCAAGTTTTTATCATTTATGACAAAGTAACAATGAATCCACCAGCTTGTATCACAATGTGTTTGTAAACAATCCCTCCGATTCGAAATCTTGCTTCGTTATCCCAAACTTTTGCAATTTATCTTGTCAGTAGTCCTGGACGTGAATTTCAAGTCATTCTGTCTGCTTGAGCGAGTCATCGGTGATCTTTGACCGTATTCTCAACAAAGTTTTGCTCCGAGTCAGCAATAAGAAGCACGTAAGACTTGTCTATCTCATCTGCAGCCCTTGAATTATCGTGAAATTCAAACGTATCTCCTTTATCCAACTTGCTCTTAACCACAAATGTAGCAGCCACAGCGAAAAGTAGGACCAAGGCTAGAATAAGTGCTCTCTTGTAGCTTAATGTTGATGCCATTAAAACAGCTCTAGACTGTAGCCTTGATTTACGCAGAGCTTTTCCTCAAAGTGCTGGATTTTACATTTGAGTCCAGTCTCTCCAGACCAATGTCCGTCGTGTAATTTTCTCCAACTTGAACACTGTTGAAGAGGCTCTATGAAACTTTGCACCGGATTAACGGCCTACTGCTTTTGAATGACCTTGCTCTGTCTATCTAAAGGGGAAAAAAAAACAAACGTTCAAAACTTCCTTCATAATTTATGCATACGAAAAACATTATCAGATTCCAGAGAATTGCGTTATCGCTGATTACTCCTTGTTCACTCAATTAAATGTGTTACAGTTTCAATAGCTTTCACCTCCGGGTTATCATGCGAATTATTTTTCTGTTATCTTGAGGCACTTTGCGAGATGTTTAGAATGTTTGTTGCCGGAAAACAAACTACAATGCCATGTTTCCTTAGTCTACGAATTTTCTGATTCAAAACTTTCCGCTTGACCAGCTGTGAATAAAGACAGTGGATAATTAAAGCCAAAAAGCAAATTTTCCAAACAATCACTAACAGGTGGTCACAATATAACAACTGAGCTCTTTTTCTTACCCAAATGACTTGTTTACTTCATAACCAGATTAGAGGGGAAACTATAAATAAAACCCTAAATTTGTTCCGGGAGCCAGTTTAATGAGCATCACAGCTGGTCGTGTGAGTATAAGGTCCATCAGTTAGGTGCAAGTGAACTAATTTCGGACTTTTAGTGACCCGTAAAAAAGAATCAGTCCGGCGTTCTCATTGGCTAACTTACTAGTCCGTACTTTGCAATACAAGAAACGTTAAGATAAACCTCCTGAGCTCCCCTAAAAGTGTGCAAAACAAAAACGTTTCTCCTAACTCAACCATTCTTAGGCTACCTCCAGACGATGAAAGAATCCGTTTACAGAAACCACTTCTTTTTGAAACAGCTCTCTGGAGTGGTTTAAGGCGCCTTCACACGAATCTGGGTAAAAAAAATATATATGCTGCGGTTTTAGAAATGCCCGGATTCGTGTGAATGGGGCCTAACATTTTAGGACGAAACTTTAACGAATTTAACTGACAATTTATGACTTAATTTATAAGTCGTTTCTATGAATACACACAGTTCGCTCGCTTCTCACAGGGGATACAAAATTTGTGACGGTCTTTTTTAAAAGCATCAAAAATATTCTACCTTACTTCATGAAGTATTTTAAATATTCTCTTGCCAGTTCATCCGTGTTTAGTTCCGCCCTATTTTCTCGCGTCATTTAAGTGAGGAAGTGCTTCATATATTTCGTACAAGTTGTAACCTACCCTGCGAGTAGAGGTTTGTCTCTTGCACCGATGGCTTTTAACGTTTAGTCGTTCGCATCGCTCGTCAGTCGCGTAGCTGGTTTGCTTTATCTTCCCTATAACTGACACTGTTTTAATGAGTTTAAGTTACCAGAACCCACTAGCACAAAGTTCGATTAAACAAAGAAATATTTTACGCGTTCTCCTCCTACTTACTACTGTGATTAACTACGAAAAGTAGTTCAGTGCGATGAGCGAATCGGCGCCATAGAACTGACGCAGACTCAGTTCGTAAATCGAACGTCCCTAATTCGCTGCGAAAATACATACACCTCTGTGATTCGCAGACTTGAAGTTCTTATGGTGTTTGTATTAAGAGGGTCTGGCAGCAAGGCAGGTTAAAAATTCTAGAGGACATGAAGGATAAGCAAGGTTGGTTAATTTTCAAGCGTTCCATAGGAGTTAAACACAGTTCATCTGTGAAACAAGTCAGTGAAAAGGTCAAAACAGGACTTAACTCATAATCTAGACCATAGAGCCACCCATTAGCTCACCACATGAGCTTTGGGAGTCGAGAAAAGTCGGCTTGGCTTACCCACCTGACTGGGAAGTGAGAAAACTACGATTTTCGAAAAATAAGACCAAAAACTTCAAGATCCCTCTTTTTTTTTATGTTTTATCGACCAGGGTTCAAGACATAACCAAACTCTTACGCGCGGTTTGTCACCCTTTTTATACAACATGCCTCGAGGTGTTAAGCTTCTGCATTTAGATGATTCTTCCAATGATTTTATTTACGGTTTAATAAATAAACTTTGAGTGAAAACCGCGAAAATTATCACGTTAATAATGAGCAGCAGTTCTCTTTCGACTGTAATTAAAGAAGAAGAGAGATCCGGGTTTGCAAAAAATACGGGTGTTATTTTTTTGTCTTAGTAGGAACAAAACCAATGATCAGTTCACTTTCGACTCTAATCAGAGAAGAAATCTTTCTTATATCCGAGATCCGGGTCTCAAAACAATACGCGTGTTACTTTTTGTCTTAGTAGCAACAAAACCAAGACCCTGGTTAATACAAGAATAAGGGAGTGGGGGGTAGGAGTCTCAAGTTGATTACTCGACAAAAATGTGGGCCCGTTTACCGGCTGACTTTACATTCTTTTTAATTATCATTGGAAAGATTTTAAAGTATTGGGTAAATGACAAGAACCAACCATTGTTATCAATTTTGTGTACAGAATTTTATTCGGGCAGCTTCTCATTTTATTTCTCTTTTAGTTATGTTTGACTGACAAAAAGGGTTATAAATTCGCCATAATTTCAGAGTATTTGGTACCATGCTTGATACTAAGGACGCTTGTAATTACCATCTGTCATCCGAGATTGGACATCCGAGATCCGACATCCTAGATTAACCATCCGACAATTGACATCCGAGAATTGATGTCCGACATCCCACATCCGAGATTCGAAATCCGACATCCAACATCCGAGATCCGAGATCTGAGATCCGAAATACAAAATCGGAGATTCGACATCCGACATCCGATATCCGACATCTTAGATTGGACATTCTCTTTCTTTCTGCGTTCAATACTTGCTGCACGCGCTGGTGATCTATTGCTCCTAGAACTATCGACTCCATTCTCACAAGACCCTCCACTTAAGCTGCAAAAAAGGTCCATACTACACACAGCAAAAGTGGATACGCATGCTACGATGAGTTCCTTGGCGTCTTCGTTTCATATGCTACTCCCGCGAGTTTGGAGTTTGGGAGCGTATGGCACTTGTGTAACCTATGCAGGAAACAGCGAGAGAGAGAAGACCTTCCATACTTTCCACCACTAAAAGCAGCACTCATGGATATCAGGCTATCGACAAAAGATGACCGGATCATGTTGTGCTTGTGTGGGTTAAGCTTGTGATTTTACGCGTCGATCGAGTCATTAATTAAAACGGAAGAAACGTGATGCGCCACTGAAGTTTCCACGGTTAGCAAAAGCACGTTGGATATCGTCATATTTGGGGAGGGCGGCCAGGTTTCCTAGCGCTGCCACAGACGGCCGGGACGCTAACATCCGGGAACTCACGCGTCTAATGTCATCAACCGTCACGTTTTCTGAAAAAGAAAAAATAAGGGCAAACAGAAAACACGATGAGAGGAGACTGAATGAACATAACACAAAAGGAGAACGGAGAGACTGAAATATTAACAACTAACCAATGCTGTCGAAAAGTTCTTTTGCTGACTTCCTCTTGTCGAGCCCAAGAACTTGCCTTAAAATTGAAAAGATAACAGGAACACGTTATTGAGATTAATATTGGGGAGATTGAGTAACGACGACGAGGACAAATGTGGCAACGAGAACGGTTAAAAGGATTATCAAAAAAAAAAAACATCTCTGCTCGCGTTTTATGCTTTTTTGTACACTATTCTGCTGCCGTTGCACGACTACAACGGAGTGGTAAAACGCGTGAAATGAACTTTGAAACATGACGTTTTCGCCACCATACTTTTGTGTAACTTTTCATTTTTTCATAATTTGGACTGCTGAAACTTTAAATGGTGCAAAACAACAACTACAAAGAAATTCAAAACTTCAAATCCGTCCTCTTATGAGAGTGTTAACCCATCTAAGTTTCTAGAGAGACTGAAACAAGGCCAATCGTTCATTAATCCTAGCCAAAAAAGCTATCACACTCAAATCGCCACAAAAGATGCGCGGTGCATTTCAGTGGAAAGATGTTCGTTTAGACTGAAATACATAAAAGGAAAATATTTTGTTAGTATGGAAAAGTTACCACTGACCTTCCTATATCCTCAAATACAATAATTCTTGATTCTAAATTCATCATCAACATAGATTGGAGTTGCTTCTTAGCTCTTGCAACCTCGACCTAAAGAAAAGAGAGATTGCACTTAACCCGACACATCATTTCTTGATACTGAGTTCGTTCAGAGTTTTGAACGATTGAACTGCGAGTAACTCGACTATGAACGAACAAACCTCATTTATATCATGGTTGACGAGAGCAAAGTACTCTTTGACAATCACCTGCGTCAGGTCTCTCAACTGGAAAAAGTAATGTAAAAGACGCAAAGTTTTAAAACAGTGTAATTTAAATGCGTATGACAATTTAAAACGTGTTTTTACTTCCACTCCCCATAATGTAAACATGCTTAACGAGTCTGAGTACTAGAGACCAATCAAGGTGAAACTTTGTTTTTATTCAGAACAGTTCAACTGAATCACTATCATGAAAAATGGCCCTTCATAGAGGTACAGTTCTATCCAGAACTTTGGCGGGGTTCGTTGATCAAGTTTTAGATTTAAATAACCGAGATTGTTTGGATTCTTGTAATTAAAAGACGCCGCAAACTGTGCTTATACCCTCTGCAAAAGGTTTTTGTTCGTCAACACGGCACGTGTATGTGTATATACATATGTTGTGGTTAATTTTTTTATCTAAGGTAATTTTTGTTTTTGTTTTCTTTCTTTTTGGGGGGGGGGGGGGCTATGATAACGTATCCTAATGAAGTTGCTGCATCCTCCAGAGGCTTCCCAAGGCTCAGTGGGACCGCGAGAGCTGGGAACAAGCGCAATAGGAGGAAGATGGGAATGAGCGTAGAGCGCGAGCGGGGAGTGACGGGAAGGACAGGAAGAGGCTTTTTCTCCCCTTCCCATCACTCCCTTCGTCCCCACTTTCCTTAATAATTAACTCAAATATCCCCCAAAAAGTGATCGCGAGCGACTGGGGACGATGCAGGTAAAAAAAAAAAACTACAATATATACATAGACTTAGATCCCAATTTGAGCCATCCTTTTCAGGGCAAGAATCACTCACACTGTAATCTAAGATGGGTTTGTTTCCTGTTTGCTCCTAAATGAAACGGGAAATGAAATTTTCGATTGCAGTATCCGGATTATAATCTGACTCGTAGACTGATTAGAAAAAATTCCTCTATTCAAGAACCGTATCAAGGGGAACTATCTACGGCACAAGTAAACTCTTTATCACATTGGAGGAGAGGTGACCGAGTGCCTGTTTATAACAAGTAAAACCTTAGATCTGTAGGTCCTAATTTAAGCCTAGTCGTCGCGTTGTTTACTAAGACAAGAACTTTGCTCCAGTGGTGGTCCTCTTCACTCAGATGTATAAATGGTAGCGGCGACATACTACTAAGGGTGCCCCTACGATGGACAATGCAGGATATCCGCTCCGCACGGAGGAGTAGCGATACTGGTAATTGGTAATTGTGAAGAACAACTCCCCATAACCAACTGTCGACTGATAATTAACTAACACCTTACCGGCTTTTTCACCCATGGTTTACCAACGGTCGGCTGACGTTTGGCCGAACATTAACCAACACCAGTAACAGAAGTAAAAAGAAGTGAAATTTGCATGTATTATTTTGAAGATACGATTCGGCAATATGTCCTGCTTGACTCGTGAGCGCTTTTTACTTTGCTTTTTTAATACTGCATACATGCAGCTGGAAGCTAAAAACACTCACCTGAGATGGATGACAGCTGCCATGGATACAAAACAAACCACTGTCAGCGTAACTATGGTGATAGGCAGTTGCAGAATAAATCCAGTGGTATCTGTTTAAAACATTCAAGTAAAGACGAGAGTACATGCCCTTGCCTGGTCCACCGGCTGAAAATGATCCTCCGCCACCCAACAGGGTATTAAGAACAGTAAAGGCAAAGAAATCTGGGTCGTCATAGTGACAAGTTTCTACACCTATAGACAGATGGGCCAATTCTGGAAGAGGTGTGGGCCCGGGGTTTATCCGGGGCTCAGTTCTGTGATCCTATAGGGAAAAAGAAACAAAATAACAGGGAAATAAAATCCCCTCACACAAATCATGGCATGACTAAGGATAATGTTTACAGGATGAACAGGGGAAAAACCAGAATTTCTACAAACAACCCGAAGGAGTCTGAAGACGTATAGAGTTTTCGAGGCAAGCACTAAGAACATCATACCAACATTAGTTTTTATAAGCAAAGCGACAACTATGCACTTGTTACACTTCTGGGTGAATTTCTTCGACGACGTGGAATTTCCTGATGTACCATTTTTTAGAGAACATTAACGCACGATGGCAATTTTTTCTTTCTCTTTCTGAACTTGAATGCAACTAGCAACAAATTAGACTCTAAAAAAACTCGTCCACGTTAGAAAAATAAAGTGAGTTAAAATAAGATTAAAAAGGGCCGCGAATTCACTTTACATGTGAAACTTTCGCTGTGAATTCAAGAAGCTTACGAAACTATGACGGCGACGGAAACAAAAAAACAGAGGAAAAACCAGAGATGTAGTGAGCAAAACAACAATCAGAGCGGGCACTGAACTCTGCACGTGCATTACACTCTTCTGTAAATTTCTTTGTTGTCGCTGCACAACTACGGACCAACTGAGAACGTGAGCGGTAAGGCGTATGTATACAGTGCGAGCCAGCAAGCCATGCGAAAAGATTACACAAAATCGCAAAAGGCAGCCATACGGGAAAAATAACTGAAAGATAACGGTTGTAAATGAGTGTTTAACCCTAAAAAGCCTTTAATCCTAATCCGTAAAATAAGCGTTTAAACCTAGTCAGTAAAAAGAGCGAGACCAAGGCTACGCAATTCTGCAAATATTCCAGCAGCAAAACCTCACAATAGGGAACTACAGCAGTCGCAGGAAAAATTTTTCATGTACTCAAAATTTCATAAAACTTTATTTTTTCCTATGGCTCCACGCCTGGCTCGCAGATTGTCCTGCCCCGCTCGGACGCGTTCCTCGTTCTTACATCTAGCTTAGTTTCCCAACTTTTTGCCGAAAAAATTTTGAAAACAACAGAAAAGTTTGGAAGGACACGAAGTCAGTCTCAAGGCGTCGTTTTCATAGGCGTCGCCCTTGTCAAAAATCTTAAGGAGGCTGATAGTCGGCGATAAGTACCTTGACAATACCTCCAGTGTATTGAGCTATAGATCGGTCAGGACTTTCTAGTTCTTGTCCTTCTTTGTACCAAACAGGTTTTCTCTCAACAAAAAAAGTTTTTGTCAAGTCTATAAGATGCTGATGATCCACGTTAACTCCAGCTATAACCATCCTGGACGGCTGATAATATCTGCTCAAGTAGTGTCGCAATATGGAAGAACTAAACTTTCCAATGTTCTCTGGTGGACATAATTTGGGTAATCCTAGACTGTTGTCGCGAAAAGCAGCCTACAAATAAAGAAAAAAAAAGCAACTGTAAAAGTAAGAAAAGAGTGGCAGCAAGATAAAGACGCTTTGTACCTCTGGGTATAATAAATTTGACTCTCGTCTCTAGAATGTTTATTCCTACTGAAGATGTCCTAACTACAGAGGTGAAATCTCCAGGACCTTAACTTTAAAAGTCTCTGAACAGGGGATTTAGTACACTGTAGGTCTTCTTAGCTCAGTTGGTAAAGCACTGTAGCGCTAATACAGAGGTCATGGGTTCGAATTTCGTTTAAGCCCTGAAGGTTTTTTTCGGGGCTTAATTTGTAATTCAGTGCTAAAATAGCAACGTGGACTCTGCGATTTTGAACGGGATCAGATGCAAAATACTTAAGAAAACTGCGTGGTACATGAAATTTTATAAAAGATACCAAACTAAAAAATAAATGTTGAAAACTTTCAACTCACAGCATGGATTAAGTCTGTTAGGACGGGTTCTGGATCAAGTCTCATTTCTAAGTTTTCAAGTTCAAACTGGACAACCATTTTTTGTTCTTCAATCTGTGATTAAAAGTAATAAAAACATTTATTAAACACACAAAAGAAAAACGGAATACTGGGTAACAAAATTATCTATATATATAAAAACCCACAAAGAAGGCTGTTCCTTTTCTGTATAAATTTAACATTATTAATTTTACGTTTAAGTAAATAAATTATTATTTATCAACCAATCCATAATCTTAAAACTCCTTTTTCCAGGACGATTGCTAGCTTGGTATTTAACAAAATTTCCTCTTGTCTAGAAGCCATAATTCGTATCAATACAGGTTGCAAAGAAAATCAGTTTTAGAGCTTGAACAATGTCACTAAAAAACGTCTTCAAATAATGCATCAGTCAATTCCAGGTGCATCCTTGCCCCCCCTACCACCCCCCGGCAACTGTGAGGCATTTGCCCACCTTGCCAGTCCTGGGGGGTGGGGCATTAGCACATTTTCCGCACGGGTCAGCGTTTGCCAACCCCGGGCCACCCCCGTTCTCCCGTTGCTCGTACGTGCATCCCTATCCAAACATAGTAAACATGGTGGATTTTACTGGAAACACAAACAGATTCAAAGTTCGGCCAATCTGAAAAGGGAAATACTTGTTAAAGTTTTTAAAGGTATGTTTTCTCAATTTTATGCCTGCTTTTCTTCATTGCTTATCAAGCCACAAGTCAGGAGCTATCGACACGAATCGACACATTCTTTTGGTTATGGAATGAAATTACTGTTGACCTAGGATTTAAATAAATTTAGCAGTGATGATATTTCTAATTCTACTATGATCAACCGTATCTCTTATTCAAGGAACTTCCTTTACTTTCTCATGTTATTAAACTATTCAGGTCAGATAACTTTTAATACAGTGCACTGGGCAACGTAGTATTCAAACAAAGATAAACAACAATAATAAGATAAGAATCATGAAGTGGCGTTATCATGTGTCAAGCCTCTGTTAGAATGGTGCTATGTTAACCAAAACAAAAAAAATCACATTAAAATGCACTACTTGACAGTGCAATCAATGACAAGTGCTGCAGTGTTGATTGAGGATGGGGCATTTGCCCTCTTTTTTTTGTCCTTGCCGTAGAGAATTTGACAGCTCAAGTGCTCTCGCCCCAGGAATTTGCCACGTAAGGCCGAAAAAAAAAATGCTAATTATCCTGAAGGGGGCATGGGTGCACCTGGAATTGATTGATTCATAAGCTCCCTAATACAGTGGAACCTTGAGATAACGAACCTCTATATAATAAAGTCCTTGGTATTACAGATAATTTTCTTTACCCCAGTGACAGTAAAATATATGGAAAAGTCCCTTGATATAACGGAACCTCGTTATAATAAGTTTTGCCAGTTCCTTGGCCCTTCATTATATTGAGGTCCCACTGTAGCATAATTGGTGATTGGCAGCGAAATAAAAAAAACAATTAGCCAAGAAATTTGTGCCAATCAGAACAACCTGTTTTTTGAATAAAATTAATAATGGTATTCTTATTAGTAGCTTTTTCTACCTCTTCATCCATTAGCTTGGGCTGCAGGACACCCTCTGAGAGAACCTCCATCACTATGGGAAGGCCACTTGTAAAGCAAGATGCCCCATAAATAATTGCATCTCTGTTAAAAACCAGTCAAACATCAGGTGAACTTTTGTGCTAAAACATCTTCACATTTGAAAAGATCACTATCACTATGGTTACACATAATTAACTAAATATTTTTAATGTTTAGTGTAATCCCAACCAATCTTTTATGATCACCTGTTTTATACAGAGATCATATTTTTTGGCTTCTTAATCCTCCTGGAAAGGCAAGGAAGGATTATGAATCTGAGATAAACTAAACTGACATGAAATTCCTGCCACGCCTCCTGAATGCGAGCTGCAGTGATGTTATTATAGCCCCTCTATTTTTCTCACTTCCTCCCAAACCTCCCCCTGCCACCTAAGTAGTTTTGACACTCATGGAAGATGACAGCCCGTAACATGAAGCGCTCGATCTTGATGATCTTACGGGAAAATAGGAGACTGTGAACAGTCTAACGTTAAACATGCAGATTTTGGTAGCGCATTACACACACAGCACTGTAGAGCTAGTCTAGAGGAGAACTAAAATTTCTCTCACAAAGAGCTGCTATGAGCTCTTTCAAAGACAGAGGGTGGTCCATATAAAACACCACCAAGGTATAAAAAACTATCCATCCTGCCTAAAGGTGATGTTATCTGTCATGACCAATAAACTGTCAAACAAACTGAAAAGACTGGCATTATTTTAGTTCCAGCTTTACTAACATAAGGCTATCAAAAAGTCAAAAGAAATGCATGCTAAGGAAATAAATGTTAAATCAATTACCTGAACGATGTGCAGTCAGCCATGCCTCCATACTTCTCCAACTCTTGCATGATATCATCATTACTTTGAAATTTAACTGTGCTCTGCAATATTCATTTTTTGTTATAGTTAGCTAAGTAAGAGTGTCCCCATGGAAGGGTTTATATTTGATATGAAACCCCATTATCACGACAAAATATAATGTTAATATCAACTAAATCAACCAAGACTACAACCAAGTGTAGCTAGGAATATAACCAACGTTAATGAATCATTGTGTAGGATAATTCTTGTAAGAAAAAGTTGTTAAAAAAATACAATCTAACAAAAAGATCCATACCTGAAATGAGAGTTTCTCAAGTAAATGAGATAATCCAGAGGGATAGTCTACTTCATATCTTGAACCACCATCAATGACAACTGTAATGCAATTACATGAGCATATTAGCCATAAACTCTCATCACTGACCTCTTTCCCTCGTTTGAACCATGACATTCACAATGGTCAGAGCACTTCTTAGATGGGTAACTGGTTAATTGTATGCTGCACCTAAGAGAGTTTACTCTGCTTGTATTTGGCTGACAAGTCTGTCTGCACTCCAAAGAAGACAAATCCTCCCTGGACAAAAATAATGATCCCCCAAAAAAACATTCCAAACCCAGCCATACCATATGCATTACATGTAACATGTAACTTGTAACATGTAACTATAGATTATGTAAATATTTAGGTCTATTGTCCCCACCCCCCATGTTTTTATAATTGAGCATGTGTTCTGACTGTTCTGATAATTAGGATGTACAGGTGTGCAGGAGTTGGCAATGGTGTGTGTTTGTAGTTAAATCCTAGTTAAATCTGAATCATCATTGGTTAAATCTGTAAAGAAACTAGATCAATGACCAAGCACAAGGTAAAGATGACTGGATGTTGGCCAAGTTCTGTTTTTGCACTTTTATAGACTTAGAAGAATGATACCATTTTCCAGCCTACCCATTGTATAAATCACTATCCAGCTGATAAGTATTACAGAAACCAATGTGTTATCCAATGGATAGAGATTTATCCAGTGGATAGCATTATCCAGCTTTTGAACAACTGGGGCCTGGTCAATAAAGGATTTATCCTATGGGCAAAAGAAAATCCTCTTTTGTAGTACAAGGCAGGTAATCTTGAACAGGCAAGAAGTCCCATCTTGCCCCTTAAGTAGCCAATCAGAACTCAAGATTTGTCTCATCTTGGTAGTTCACAGAACCAGTCATATACCGGTCATAAAAATGTTTAGGCCACCAAGGTTAACGTCATTCAAAATAAGATGGATATCAGGCACACTACAGTATAACAAGAGGGGAATGATCCTTCAGGCAGTGGACAGTCTCACGTACACGGAGAAATAACCTTAATCTGACAAACAAGTATAATTATGACAATACACCTGCCATGATCAGGAATTAATAAGAATGGTTTTTACAAAAACCAGGATGCTGAAAAAGAATGGACAGTCAATTAAAAAATCATTCCTTGCTGAAACGACCATCATTATTAAAGGACTCAAAGCATAGTGGGGTTTATTATCATCGAATTTTTTGCCTTTTTTCTTAGCAATTTAACAAGCATTAAAGGAATTTAAAGGGGCAATATCCTTGATGGCATAGTTCCAAGAAATATTGGTAACCCTCCACAGGGTTATTCTGAGAGGGGAAAAGTCTTAAAGGCCAAAATTTTTAAAGGAAAGCATACAGCTAGATTAGAATTTCACAAAGAAATTATCAACTTTAGAATTTACAGGGCCCCACTGAAAACTGCTAAGGTGAGTGGGCTCCCTGGATAAATATTAAAAATAAATAGATAAATATAATAATAATAATAATAATAATAATAATAATAATATATAACTCAGCATCATAAAAATACACAAGGTATTTGCATTCCAAGTAATGCATCAGATCAGTCAGTTCTGGTCAGTTATGTTTGCATCAAATTTCTCTTCCCACAGAACTAGCTTCTTCAAAGCTTCTGGGAAGGGTACTTCCTAGGCTAATGGGGATGTGCCACTGGATGGGGTCGAATTTTAACAACTAGATTACATTTTCATAAAAGTTACTAGAATTTTCAGGATTTTGGGGATAAGAAAATTTTTGGAAATTTTTTTGGAAAAATCTAGGAATTTGAAAAAAGAAAATGTGTGAATTCATTTTTTAGTATAACAGACCTACTAGGCTTTATAAGGTAGATGCATTTAAACAGAAAGTGGCAAAGTAAGTTACATTTGCCCAAAGAGACTTCATTGGCAAATTGACAATTGACTATAAATTCTGCGGTAAGGGTTCTGAGAGGCCAGCAGCACATACTCAGTGAAAATTGATCCAAGTAGCCCCGCCCCCTGCCCCAGAAACTAGCGAACTTTTCATCAATTAAATGGGTTATGTCTGGGTTGGTGAGGTCAGGGAAGAGGGGAAGTGGAGAGACAGATGAGCACACTTGCCAGTCTGCAGAGTATGGCAGAACTTGACGAGATCTTGTCCGTGCAGAGCCAATTTTAGCCCGCGAAGAGACTCGGTATTAGAAGGATGGGAGTTTTACGCGCATTTCCAGCTGTTTTAGAGGACCTAAATTTCAAATTGTCCCGGGGGAGCATGCCCCCCTGGACCTGCCTAGTATGATTATGCTTTACCGTTCAGTTCACTCAAAAGAAGGGCTACAAACAAGAGTACAGACAAATTTCAAGTCCATTCATTCGAATATAACCTCACCATACTGATGAGAAAGCAAAAGTGTAAGCAAGGGATGTGGAAATGATGTGGGAGAACTGAAAGGTTAGGATAGATTTGGCATATCATGCAATGCTCCTGTGAGTCAGGTGCAAATCTCAGGACCAACGCTGCCGCGTTCAATGCTACGATTTTGGTGAGCGCAATAAGCTTTTCTAAAAAGGTCCGTGTGTCCACTTACCATACTCTGCATACTGGCGCACTTGGAACTGGCGGAGAAAATTATACCGCATAGCCCCATTGCATCGTTTTGAATAGACGTTCTGAACGGCACTCTATTTATGCTCCCTTTTTGAAAAACAAAGAGCACAACTTTCTAAAATGATGTTTTTTTTTTCATCTTATCAGTGATGTAATCTGGACCCGGTATTACAAAAAACTTTCCCCTCTCCCGATCCCACGTGTGACACCAAAATATGACAGCGGACTGTAAACCCTTTCACTTAAATGCGATCTCAAAGATTGCTTCATTTCTATAATTTTAACTTACCACCAACTGTGGAAAACTGGCCAAAAGAATCTTCTGAAGCTACTTTTATTCCATTTTCAAGCGTGGTGACATGAGTTACGTGATCGTGTCTACTCTGCCATTCTGTCCCGCTTACTATTTCAGGCGGAGGAGCTGGCATGTTCGGTAGAGGATGGTTTAGGGGTGGAATGGTTCCATTACTAAGAGGCCTTTTTTGCACTGTATGCCTGGAGGTTCTTTGGAAAGCTCGAATTGATCTGCCGCCTCGAAATATCGGTACGACACTTCGACCGGCCATTTTCACTTGCTCTTATCGCGGGCACTAATTGTTCCAGCGGTCGACTAAAATTGAAGAAAATTGCCTTTATTTACGACCAAAGAAAATATACCCAGTTCCCCCTGGGGTTTATTTTTTTGGCGAAAGTTAAATTTTTCGAAGGAATTGAATCCTTGAGTTTATATCATTGTTTACATGATAACGTCAAGTGAGGGTGAAAGCCTCTCTAAAATAAAATACCTTGCGGAGCCTTTGTACAGCCGCCAGTCCCCTCAAACCAAAAATACAGTCTAATCAAATCATATGATATCCCCGGATGATATCCCGGTTGCATGTATTGAAAAGCGCTGCTTTCAGGCAGTAGAGCGCAGAAGTTGTTGCTGAATAAGTGAGACCTTACAATCGAAGGCTGTTAAACCCCACGTCTACACGTCTTTAAATATTGAGAATTGATAGATACGTCATAATGCACGGCACGTGACGTCATTTGTGAAAAAAAAAACGCGCGAAAAAGATGTTGTTGGAATTGTAACATTTGACCTAACTGGTTACTTCCCACCAATCACATTATTGCTTATATTACAATGGCATACCGGAGTTTGTGAGGAAGCTTTTGATGTTAACAGTAAGATAGCTCAAACAACACAAAATATTTAAAATTTCATTGTCAGAAAGTCTAATCTACAAGAAATGGCAAACTTCGTTGATTATCCGGGAGATTTCAGACTCTAAACTGGAGACCTGGAGAAACGGTTCAAAATCTGGAGTCTCCCGGACTATCCGGGAGAGTTGACAGCCCTGCAATCATTTCATTACAAAGAACAACAACAAGGTTTATTTGGGTTTACCACAGGATACCCACACAATCTGTTACTGTATTACCGTTTGCTTCATCTGTAGTGGTATATCGCTAAATATGTGCATGTACCAAAGCTAAATAAACGTTGTGTTACCTTACCCTCGGTAAATTGTCGTCCTTTGGCCTCAGAAGTTGTATTTTGAGCGATTTTGAAGGATTTTGAGTTCGCTATTTACTGTTCCTCTTGTTAAAAATAGACAGTGAACGGCGAAGCCCAAATCCTTCAGAATTCCTCAAAATGCAACTTCTGAGGCAAAAGGACAACAATTTACCGAAGGTAAGGTAACACAACGTTTATTTAGTATTGATTCATGCACATATTTAGCGATATGCCGCTACAAATGAAGCAAACGATAAGTTTAAATAAAATTACACCGGTTCAGAAACACGAACAGATTGTGTGGGTGTCCTGTTGGCTTTACTGGATTATCCGGATCAAGGATCAAGTATCGGGAAGCAAGGATCGAAGTTCGAGGAACAGGAATCCATTTGGGTGGGTGTGTGTGTGTTTTTAATTCATTTCTTTCAAAACTAACAGAATCACAAAGAGAACAAATTCAGGATTGGGGAATTCTAACGAGAATTCTAACACAATGTTTTTAGAATAAAACCAGTGATATACTGCCACACAGTTAGCAGAATTTGTGCTGAATTCTAACGGGAAGTGCCAGGCCAATTGACTGACCAGCTGGCAGTTATAAAGGGACCATTTAGTGGACAAACCACTTTAAAAAAAATAGCCTGTTCGCGACTAACATAGAAAATCATGTCCTCGTCCCTCTGTTCGAGGCCTGTCAACATAACAGTAGTTCGAAGTAGGGTGCTCGAAAAAAAACCATGATGGCCTCGCGCCTCCTAGTCTGAGAAAACAGCCGACATTTGGCGACGCTACCACTGGTTTCCCCGCCAAATGACATCTGAGAAACGAGCGCAGAAATTCCATACTGATGACGCGTCATTACCCAGATCTGGGTAGTGCTTCTGATTGGTTGGATCAAATTTCCCAAACGGCACGACCAATTAGAAGCACTAGAACCCAGATCTGGGCAGTGACACGTCATCAGTATGGAATTTCTGCGCTCGTTTCTCAGGCGTCACTTGGTGGGGAAACCAGTGTTATCGTCTCCAAATGTCGGCTGTGTTCTCAGGCTACGTGCCTCTGTTCTTAGCCTTTCAGCACCGAAACTTTCCTCAAAAACTCCTTTGTTCTAGGTGAAATCACACCAAAAACCAAATACTCACTGTACTCAAACTAGACGAGTCCTCTTTTTTTGCCGCCTCTGCAGAGCGCCAACCTTAGTCCCCGAGGCCAAACAAATAACTCGTTTGTTTCTGCAGCGTTAGGCTTTTAGATCTCGCGAAATATTTATTGGACAACGGAGCTTCTAAGGCAAGGGTCCAAGGGTCCGTAACCGGTACTTTGACCCAAAAACCAAATCGAGTTCCTTTTTCTGCTTTTTGCTAGATGCTCGTATCCAGGCTTCTCGGGCGTCGAGTTTAGGTTGCGTTCTCCCAACGTTAAACGCAAAAAAGGAAAAAAAACTATTTGCCTTTAAATCTAACTTTTGTCACTTTCTAATCGCTGATGAACAAAACGAAGAAAGACATTGAAAGATTACACACGGTTCACTGCGTTTAAGCGCAGCCCCCGAAAAGCGTGGCCCTCGAATAAATAAGGTCTATCTCTGATAAGACGAAAATTTCATGAACGCGGCGGCGTTTTATCGTTTAATTCAGGAAATACCGTATGTAACACTAAGACGAAAATTCCTTGCCTCACCAAATCTAACGCATTACGATAGACTACCAAATTTACAGGTAAACAAAACACGAAAATACTGAAGAACAAACAAAGATCAGTTCCCGGCACAAGCTCTTAGGATGAAAGGAGTTTTTGTGACTTATGTGGGAGCAAGGGTGGCGCGCAGTGATGAAAGTACAAGCCTCCCACGAATGGTCCGGGGTTCAAACCCCGGCGTCGACAGCATATGTGGGTTGAGTCTGTTGTTGGTTCTTTCCTTTAATTTGCTCCGAGAGGTTTTTCCCCCGGTACTCTGGTTTTCCTCTCTTCAACGACCAATATTTCCAAATTCCAACTCGACTAGCAATGATAGGCGATCAGAACCACTATGTGGATGTGCTGCCTAAAAATCGTGTAATTTTTATTTATTTAAATCATTTATTATACGGAAGCTTAATATAACGTACCGCAAAGCGTCCATATAGGCAGGCAGCCTTCATACTTCTAATATAACTTAGGCTGAGGGAGGAGGAGACTTCATCTCCAGAGTCACCCAATTATTTCAAAATACTTACCGCACTCAAAGATCATGGTTTGATTAAACGCCTTTTTTTACGCATTAGTAATTCTCTAAACCTTCGAGTCACTGCACCTGCACTTAGACTTAGGTTATAGAGCACTATACTAACGTTATGCTATATTAACCGCTGATTAACATAAAAAGAATAGTCCATCTCTGAATGACCTAAATCTGTTTTTCAAAGTGTAGTTGCAAACCAAAACTCGCTTCAAAAAAGAAGCTTAAGGCAACTCGAACTGGTGATCTGTTGTGTTTATCAGCGACGAATCCAGAAAATTTATAAAGGGTCACTTGTCAGCTATAGAGATGCTACAGGCTTACTTGCTGAGAATTCCACTTTAAAAATAATCAAAAAATGCGCAGAAAAATGAGGAAGGCTCCCCCTCGGGCCACCCCTAAATCAGCTCATGTATAAGCAACTTGCAGTTAGCCTTTGACTCAACTTTTTTGGCTTAGAAAACAAATAGGGTAATAGCTGCAAGGAGAGGAAAAAACGAGGCGAAGACGTTTAACAAAAACATCGGGGCACTGCCATTTGGTGGACCCGTGGTACTCTCGCCACCATCTCCACCGCCATTACCTCCACCGCCATTACCTCCACCACCATTACCACCACCGTCTCCACCAATGGTGGGCTCGCCCGCTACTCCATCCATGTTGGCTGTAGGGTCAATCAAAACCGTGTTGTTAAACCTAGGAATGCGGAAGATAAACAGCTTCTTGCTACCTTGGGTCTCATATTTAGGGAAAGGATCAGGCATATCTACTGGGTCCTCATCTAAGAGAATCTGAAAGAAGTGAGGAGAAATATCATGAACTCAAAGGGCACGTACAACGACGAGAATCATACGTTTTGTTTATTTTCATTGGTGAGAGCAGGCTAACTTTACCTCCTTGTTAATCAGCACCTCTGAACCTCCACCCATGTCATAAGTTTCAGGACAGTCCATATCCTTGTAACAGACAGGTTTCTTTTTAGCCTTGCCGAGGTCTTCTCTGGACAATTTTATGGGTGTTCCCTTGCTTTTGACCGCAAGTGTAATGTCAATGAAAGCACCTTCTTCATTTGTTTGGCCTTTTCGGCAGTTTGAAAGTCCTGGATCACAGAATTCCCAATCTTTAATCTAAAGAAAAGAGAAGTATTTTTATTTGTTACCCTCGAGAGTATATACATATACCATCAAGGGTATTACCCAAATTTATTTGTATATTTTATAGACAAGCGTTTGTATAAAGGTTACAGTGGAACCTCGATATAACGCAGAGCCAAGGGACTGGCAAACTGTGTTCGCTATACCGAGGTTTCGTTATACTGAGGTTCTTTTTTCATATATGTTGTTATTACTAGAGTAAAGAAAATCGTTCGGTACACAAGGGACTTCATTATATAGAGGTTCATTATATCGAAGTTCCACTGTACATATAAATCTAAGGCGCATTTGATCATATTAACATTGTCATCATGCATGGAGAGTCTGGGAACAAATTGTACAATACGGCTCAAAACTTGATTACAAAATGTAAGAGTTTCTTCTCTTGCATTGTCTCTTGACTTGACTGTTTTTTTACTTTGGGCTATGTAAAAGGATAAAGGTTTTTAATCAATAAACCAAACAGCCAAGTGCTAAGATTGCAGGAAAGAGAATGAATGGCCTGTATGGCAGGCAATTTAAAGGGGAAGGGGCGGGATTGGAGGAAATGTGCTTGTAAGAACAGTCGGCTCTTTTCCATTCAGGGTGCCAGTCATACCAACTCAGTAGAGGGGAGAATCGTAACTGAATTACCTGAACTACCCTCAAGCACTACTGTCAGTACAGTACAGTGGAGCTGCAATCAACATCTGAGAGTGTGCAGTTCTCAGATGGGTAAATACTTCTCTAGATACTGTATATTGACACCATATTCATGCATCTAATATATATATTTTATTTTGGAAAGGAGCCAGGTATGTTTAAACACTAATTCAAACATTTACGGTATAAATTTATTGAATTAATAAAATAGTAACAACACTGACTACAGCAAACCTTAATATTAAACTTCAAGGTTCCCTGCAAATGATTCATTGCCGAAAGTGACATTGCCATCTTCAAGGAACAGAAACACCATGACATCAAGGGTGGCCTGTGGCCCATCCAAGTAGGCTGTCAGATTGACATTTATGACCTCGATGCCTTGATAATATGAAACGTTGTCGACCTTTGTAAAGTTAAATTCCTGACTTGCTAGGCTGTTCAGGGAATGTTTCTTGGGACCGGTTTTACCAACTTCATTGTCTTGTGCATCACGCTCATATATCGAGTCCACCTCAAATGTCAGTTGATTGTCATTGGAGTCACTGAAGTTACCTTCAGTGTTATTGCCAATGTAGACCAACCTTATTTTTCCTGATTGACCAAGAATTTTACACTGTACATTGCCTCCAGTGATGGTTTCATCTCCGCAAATACAGCATGCAACCAAGTGGAACAAGGCTGTTAGAAAAAAGGAAGTCAACTAGAGAACTCGAGATTCTCCTTTGTGCCGATCAAGGGCATAAATTTCTGTGAACACTTAGAAGGCTGTCAAACTACTGCACTGTTACTTACGTCTGCCGGAGCACCAAGCCTTTTTAAACGGGAAAAGCCCAGAAAGCATTGAATATTATTTCTTGGCTTTTCCAGGAAACCCCGGAATCAAGGGGGAGTCAAGATTGCCAGATCAGCGTCAGAAGGTCAAGGCTTTTTTGCACTTAAGGCAAAGCCCGGAAAGTGTGGAAAATTGTCTCCTGGCTTTCCGGGCTTTTCCAGGAATTCCTGGAAAGCCAGGGGAGCATGGACACTCCTGGATTTTCCCACCTTTTTCTTAGCTTTTCCGCATGTGCAAAAAATCCTTCAAAGCCAGGAATTTTCTGCTAAAATTGATCCTGGAGAATTCCGGACTCCTTTTAGCAGGGTCAATCCTAATAAAAAGCCAAAATGCCACAATTCTAGAAACTTTGACGGTTAAGGTCTTTTCTCTGCATTCTGCATGAAAATTTAAAAATCACAATGATTTCCATGTAATCCTTCTATTCACGGGAAATCAAGTTGCCTGAGGGAAAGGCTATGTCTGCATCATTGATATTTGGATTATTTCGCTTTACAAGCTGACAAAGTTGGGGGGAAACAACCCTTTAAGACTGATCCTACAGCCATTCCCTCCTCTCTTCCTCCCAAATTTTTCTCCCACTTTCTGACTTTGCACCACACTCCACTATCTGAATGCCTGAACAAACTTAACTACAAAAACAACCAGACCAAATTTGTTTTGTTGCAGTTTTGTTTACTAAGCAACTGCATAGACCAACCAACAGAAATATAGCCAAATTTCTTGCTCAGTAAGCCACGTCTGTGGTACATTTTGACAATTCATTATTTATAAACCATGGCCTCACTAATTCATGAGTAAGAATGCCTGATTCAGTCAACTGGTACTCTATATCTCCTACATGTCTTTTTTGTACCTCTAAAAATCTTTTAAGGTGTTACATTATCAACTTACCGAAAACAGTGACCAGCAATACTTTGCTCAAATATTCCATTCTGTCGATATAACAGGCTGATAGTTTGAAGGTCCTCCGCTTCTGACCAGAAAATGCTAAAAAGCGATTTAAAACAATCCTTGTGCATAAGAAGTTCACATATTGTGTTGTCCAAAAATGCAACATATCACTGTAACAAACTATGGCTTTTGCTTATAAGCTATGTGCAAAGGGACGCAACATTGTTGGCCATCAACTCCGAACTTTGTTGGATGTTGCATATTTCTTCCGTCAGCAAGATCGATAGATACTTCGAGATAGTTTTGTCAGCCACATGTTCTTCGCTATGCGACGAAATGAGTTAAAGTATGGCTTTTACAGCTAAAACCCTGCTTATTTTCCTGGAATATATTTTTGAATTCTTGATAATACAGCCCTACCAGATTCATTAGCGTCTATCGGCAGAATTTCATTGGCAAGAACATTAAACATAATTAATTTCGCACTAGCTTTTATTTCTTAGTGTCATGGAACAATAGGTAAAGCGATGACCTAACGTATTAATAGTCCGGGCTTGACTCCCGTGCGAGGAAACTTTTTTCTTTCCTTTGGTCGTTTTGATTTAGTTTTCTTTCTGTTTTTTTTTTTTCACATACTTTATCTATTTGCTGTATCCCTGTATCTCCGCCCGCCTCGACTAGCACGTGCTATTTGTGGGCAGAAATGTACTCCATGTAAATGTTGAATGTCAATAACGTGTGTTTTCAAGTTATTGACTGGTTTAAATTTATTCCTATTGTTTGTTTTTGTTTTTCCTCTGAATGGGGTGTCTTGTTTTGGTTTGGGGTCTTAAATAGGGTATTAATTTTCGTTTGTCTCATTCTTAAATAAGGTCAGGGTTTTAGACCCTGGGTGGTACAGTACATCTACATCGCTGTATCCAAATTTATGGGGGTACCCCCCTACCCCCCCCCCCCAGGGACTACACATTTAGAGCTCATGCGTAAAAGTTGTTTAATATCAATTTAATGGCTTACTATTCAAGGGTAATCACTTGATAAACATGCTTTAGTTGTTAGAGAAACAAGACAGTTTTTGGAAACTTGTGAATAATTTTATGATAGAGCTTTATTCGATCGTTTCACTCAGAGCGGTGGTTATTTAAATAGTTAATACCTGATTATTAAACTCCATCGAGCATAAAAAGCGCAAGTTAAAAAGAAGATAGAAACCCATAAATTACTTTGATGTCTCCGGGAGCATGCAGTATTAATGACTTGAGATATGCGCATATACATGCAGCGGCTATGTTCCAGCACGTTCGAAAAAATATTTAACAATTATTCCTCGAGCCCGAATGGGCTCTGAGTCAATAGCCCATGAAGCCGAAAGCCGAATAGGCTATTGCTTCAGAGGCCATGAGGGCGAGAGGAATAATTATTTTAGTAAAATCCGACTGGTTAGTTAAAAAATTTCGAGACAAAACAGCTTTAGCTAGTTAAAGCTAGACTTTAAAAGCCGGTGCTTTTCGCTATTAGTGGGCTATAACATATCGCCTAGTAGTTGCTCAACCAATCAGAACGCAGCACATGATTGATAACAGACCACTACTTAGATTTTACTAATACAGGATATTAGCCAGCAGACAACCTACAAGACGCTATAAAATGGCAAAATCCTTAAGTAATAAGTCGGAGATATTTTTTTCCAGTTGTTTTTGCTCACTCCTACACTTCGGATATATTTCACTATTTTTCATTCTTGAAAAATCTCAAGTAACTGCCTGCCCTTCGAACTTTACACTACCGTAATTAAATTTTTGATATTTTGGCGACGGTGACTAGCTTTTTTTTCCTTTGTGTTTTTGAGATCCGAAGCTGTTGGATCTTGAAAAATACGGCACCGATGAGAATTGACGGTTCGCCTCAGAAATTTCGAATAAATGCGAGCCCCCGTACCGTTCTTCACGAAAGATGGCAAGTGACTCAGTAAATAGTTCTTGGTTTGCATGAATTTCCTCGGGGATGGCTGCCTTAAATACAAATCTATAAAAGATAAGTGTATCAAAGAAACTACGAAAGGAAAAAGACAAAATAACTTTTAGAAAAACAAACATAGAGGAATCATGCAGGGGTAGGTCATTAAGCTTTTTAATAATGCAGCTCAAAAATGATCGTTTGGGGAAAAAATCCTGACAATGTCAAGAATCATAACTTCGGAATGACTTAGCAGAAAAAGGGAGAAAGGAAAAACAAAAAATTAAAACTAGACCCTTGGAAAGTACATTGAAGGTGGTCCACAAAGACGAGACTGCCAATGGAATACTGAGCGCTCCAGAGTCGTATTTTCGTGACAATTCCGCGACCTAGACTTTCCAGAAAGTCTTTGTCCCTACACCAGCAAAACAACTCCCTCCTTAAAATTTTCTTACAACAACTTAAAGACAAACCTTACCAGAAAAAAGGTGAACAGCAAGCTAAAGAAACAATCACTCCACAGTCACTCAAGTCTTATAAAACCTTTATCCTTCAATGACCGTCAGTAATCTCTGAACCGTGAGGCTTTGTATGCGATAGCCTCCCACGCAGGCGTCTTTGGGGAGTTGATCTTTCAGTGGTTTCGTGGTTTTGCTAGAAAAATAGCTAGCTCGTTTAACAACTGTAGATGGAATTGCTTACCTGCCAAGAAATAGAGAATAATTTCGTCAAGAAACTGAAAGTTAAATGTATTAAGGTTTATACAATAAACCTTTTTCTTGGTGCATTGGAGCGTCAGGCAATGAGCTATGACAAGACAACTCTGTGTATATATTAAGCGCGCGAGGGGTAGCCTGCGAAAACATCCGTTTCTCCTCGCTCTTCGCCGCTGGGGACGTTTCGTGAGGAGGAACGTCTGCGACTCAGCGACAAAAATTCCATACTGATGACGCAAAATTTGTCCGGAATCTGGTCAGAAGCGCTGATTGGTCGACAGAGTAGTTACATTGTTTTAGCTACTGTTTACGAATGACAGACAAAAGACAAAAGGCCACAGAGGTCAAATGTAAACGCGAAGAATCTCTAGCAAAACAGTCAATATTTGTTGAATATACTCTTCTCTAGAAGAAGAATTTGAGTTCTGCTGGAGCTCGTTGACAGATGAACACAAAAATTTACCAAAATCGACCAGAAGACACGTAAAACTGTACAAATTTGTATTTGGAACCCCATGACTACCGGATTTATTATGTAAACAGTGATTTGCGTCATCAGTATGGAATTTTTGCCACTGAGTCGCAGACGTTCCTCCGCGCGAAACGTCCCCAGCGGCGAAGAGCGAGGAGAAACGGATGTTTTCGCAGGCTACGCGAGGGGGAACACACAAAAATCCATACATGGGCAAACAATTGAAAAACGAGCAAACATCCTGAACACGCAGGAAAAATACATACCAGCTAGTGCTAAGAAAAGAAAATTTTGCAGGTATCTCCAAGTTCCTTGGAGTCTGCAATATTTTTTTACCGAAGGAATTCAACCTAATATTTATAAAAACTCAATTTTGTTACCGTGACAACCCACAAAGCATTCGACAATTATGTGATACTACAAAAAATCGCTAGCCATGACCACTGCCAAGAGACTGTATTGCTGAATAATTTGGGAGCAGCACCAACGACCGACTGTTTCCCATGACGTCAGAAATGTCGCGAATGGTTTTTTTCTTAATTTGCTTTAGACGGTTGTTTGGTCTTAGGCCTACCCTAAAATCTATTTATCTGTTCCGATGTCTTAAGGAAACTTTGATCGTCTCGAACGTTTAAGGTAGACTTTTCAGCTCGTCCTAACCCTGATGAATCCAGTGGAAAGTTCGAGGACATGGAGTATCCCGTACGGGTAATTTCATTAGAAGATTCTAGGGGACGTTTTGCATAATACCGAGATTTTGACGCGATCTTTTTAACAATAATCGGAATTAATCTTGGTAATGAAATGTGAGAAACACAACCTCCAAAAATCGTACATAAGTTAGGAAAACGTCGAACACCTTTGACAAATGGAATTGTTATCAAGAAATGTTTAGCCTTTCTCGTCCTTCCATTATTTACAGAAAAAAAGTCTTTGGGTGCCCTTGATAATTGTTTAAAAACGTACGTATTTATCTTTCAGATAAGGAGGTTAATAATTAAGTTTTCTTCTATGTAGGTGTAACTTATTCATTGTTTAAATATTGTTCATCATACGTGAATACGGGCACTCATCTGCCAACTTCATAGCACCCGGCAAAAAAGGACATGAAATTCTTTTGTTCCTTACTTTCCTCGGCACGTTTTCCTTGCACATAGTCTCCAAAGCAGTTATTGTCTGGGCTTCGTTACGAGCTTGTGAGGCTACCTTGCAAATGAAAACTATTTTTTCAGTTCTTCACGGGGCCTTTAGGGCAGCAGTGTTCCACGAATGACCACGATGAAGAAAAAAATATCCCTATTTCGGACTCCAGAAAAGGGGCTTTTATTAAAATATTTTCATGTCCCTTTATGTACGTACTTTACCATTTTGTTGGTAGTATCTCTATTTTTCCGTTTACAGATATGTGAACATAAACATCAGTGCGGGGCTTCTTTTACTCTACTGTGCATAAGAAGCTTACAGTCAATTGCTATTGTAGCTACATAAAGGGTCACAAATAGTCTAACCTTCTTCCTTTTCAAAACATAGAAGTAATGTAAGAGAGAGTGTTCCGACCTGGGTTTACTGGTTTAGTCCACACGGCGGAGATATGATTCTTTTGAAAGCCTTGGATATTGGTTGTTTTGTCAGTAAAAAAGTAAGCACTTACAAAATAACCGCAATAAAAAATCGGGTCTGTGATATTGGCCATGAATTCAGGCATTATTAGCGCTTATGGTAATACATGTGCCGGGGGGAGGGGTACTGCCATATATGGGCTATATAGGTATGTGCTGCTGTGAAGGGTATGGTTTTCAAGCAGTTTACTCTAGGATAGGGTATATAAATCAGAGCGTTTGGGTCTAGAATAGGATATCATTTTTCAGGAAACTGATCAGTTGGTTGAAGATTTTATCTAGACTAGGGAAACAGCTACTCTAGGATAGGGGGGATTTGGGCAGTTTAGTCTAGTATAGGGTAGCAAAATTCAGCTGAACTAGTTCTGGTATAGGTTAAGGGTTCCAGGGTCCCAGGGTCCCAGCGGCACATCCCCACCCATAAATTCCTAAAGAATCCCCCCGGGTACAGGTGGTTCAAGCTCGAAATATGACCATCGGCACTGTTGCGTAACGTTCGAAATATAAGGATTTGAATGTGTAAAACGATTATTTCTGTAACTTTCGATTGTGAACTGAATGGATTTAAACAACACTCGGCTAACCTCGCTTAAATTGCGTGCGGGGTTGTTTGTTTCTTCTTTCCTGTGTGGTTCCGGAGCCGATTTATGGCCATTTAATGCGGGATATTATTGTAACAGGTTTGCTTTCTCAACCAGTCCCGGAGGGGGAGCAGTACTACTCAACAAAGTTTTATACAGGGAGGTTCCGCCCCGAGGTCCAACTCCTACTCTTTTATACCATTGACAGAAAAGATACCCCTTTCGTATACCTTCTATTGAAAAATGGTACCCCTTTATATCTACCTACTTGATAATCGTGTGGCGTACAACTGAAGAGTTCATATGAAGAGGTCATATGGCAAAATCCACTAGATAAAAATAAAACAGTGTTCTGAAAGTGGATCTTCCATTAAATTTTTCTTTTCTCTGTTTACATAATATTAAAACATCGAGTCTTCTTTTTGTGTGTGTGTGTAACGTTTAATAAGTTCAAATGATACCGTAAAATTCCGAAAATAAGCCTCGGGGCTTATATTTTTCAATGGCCCTTTTTGAGGGGCTTATTTTTGGAGGGGCTTATATTCGGAGGGGCTTGCAGGCGTTTTTAGGGGAGCTCGTTTTTTGAGGGATGAAAAACGCCTGCGTGGGAGGCTAATCTACGGAGGGAAATTTGCGTTTCAAAATCGATTGGGCCAGCCTCATAGATGGAAGGAAATTTACAGCTTTTGCTTTGTTTTACTTTGTATTTGTCTGAGAGCAATTTCAAGGTACAAGCCCCCGGGGAGGTTATATTTGGAGTAGCGATTTAACGGAGGGTCTTTTGCGTTACGAGTTTAGGGGGCTTATACACGGAGGGGCTTATTTTCGGAATTTTACGGTATTGCCAAAAAGTGCGTCTTTTCGAAACAGGTTTTTAATTAGCTTGCCGAAAGGTTTTGCGCAAAGTTTCTCGGTCTTCTCCTCTTCGTGCATACAGTTAATCTATGGTGGACCTTGTCACGGGAGATATCAAGAACCAGCCTCTTGATAGTGCAGCGCTAGGCATATAAACACTTAAGGCACGCTTTTGCAGCCTCTCGATTTTGTCTACCATTAAGAAAAGATCCTATGTATATCTCGTACCCATATCTCCCACGGCCAAGGGAGAGGAACATCTAAAAGTAAATGAGTGAGGACTGGGATTTAGTTCACCAAGCCCTCTAGGCCAATCGCTATGGCTCGATGTTCGATGTGTGTGAACGACTTGTTCCAGTTCTGTGCCGTTGCTGTTCACACGGAGAGCTTTTCGTGTTGGCAGCCTTAGGAACGAGGTATATATGTGTGTGCGCGTGTGGGTCGTGCCCTTGCTATCATGACTTAAAGAACGAGATACGTTTTAGTGTGTCTCATGGCTTACACTCTCTGTGTTTGCAATAGGTTTGTTATTTGAGGTACTCTCAAGATGCCGCTCCGTGTGAGCTCAATACAAACCATAAGCAAGGCTTACGATTTGTAAAAGACGATGCGTCAAGTGCAGCTGTTGTGCAGCTGACAGTCCGTAACAGTGGCGACTAAAGTATTGGACATGGATAATGCTTGTCACCGTGAAATTTTTTAGATGAGTTGTGTCGGGTCTGAAGTACGTCAAGTACAGGTCACATTCCACAGATAAGGAGTAGACGTCACTTCTCCATCGATAAATTACTAAGCCACGCAGTTTCTTCTCGATCTAGAAGATCATTTCGTAAAGAGATTAGGGCTAGGAATTATTCTGTCTGTAGCATGGTGACTACGCCCTGACCTGTAGAAAGTGACCTGTATTTTAGACCCGCCAAGATTAATGCCATGCTGTCCTTGAATGCTGGGTCATTGTCTGATTCCTTCTGGTTTCTTGACTTCAGGGGTTCTCCAGCTCTTGAATGACTGAACCCATATCCAGCCTCATACCAGGGTATTCCTTAACACAGTTTCTCACGAGGTTTTTAAACATATCGTTTCTGATCATGTCTATCTGCCTTCTTCGCTGCTGGGGGTTTGGTTCTTGTCTGGTGCATGTTTCACAAAGGAGAACACCAAAACTGTAAACGTCAACCTAGTGAAGATCAAAGGAGCCTCGGAGTAAACTCGTGATAAACTCGGCACGGAGAAAATTTTGAACCCAGGGGTCATTTCATTATGATCGTCCGGGTGAGGGTAGTCCTTGACTGTTGTTGACATTGGCCTGGGACCAGCCTCCGTAGCAAGGAAACAGCCAAAAAAAGTCCGAGAGCGAAGCGAGCCGATTGGACCGCTAAGCGGTTTTTTCCGCGCCTTTTTTCCCCCGCTGCGGAGTTTAAGTCCCAAGTTATGTTGGCAGTGACTGATGTTTCGACAACCTGTGCGGCAGTCATCTTCATATGAGTTGCATCACGTCAGTTGATGGTATTCAACTCTGGTTATTGACCTGATTGGTAAATTAAAGTAAAAAATGTAAAGGCGTACACGAGCCAAAGGCTCAAGCAGCCGGAGCTTATCCCAGTTTCCTTAGCAAAAAACATGCCTTGGAGAGGTACCTTTCGAATTTTCTGTATTTTGATCAGGCATCAAAAAGCCATAATACCGGTAAATCAAATTCGTTACAAAAAAAGCTAGGTGGAGGCTTTTATCCACGGGCTTCTAATGGGATTCAATTTTTTATATACAGATAGATGGGCCTTTAATTTTGGGGGACTTATGTGTGTGCGGTGCGCGTGGAGGGGGGGGGGGCTTATAAGCGCCAGTACGGTACATAAAAAATACTGCACCTTTCCATCTTTCCATAATACCAACCTTGCAGCTGATCGGTTTACTGGGATCTTCATGTACGGACTCAGGTGCACAATAGACAGCATTGCCTGCATAATTTATACTACTCTGACGTACAAAATTAGCAGTGCCATAATCTGACACTTTGGCTCTCCACCGGTCACCTTGTCGCCTCAACAAAACATTCCCACTACTGATGTCATGGTGAATGATGGGATCTCGTTTCTGATGCAGATAGTTTAGTGCTTTAGCCACATCCAGAGCAATCGTAGTTATTTCAGGGTCCGATAGTAGTGGGTCAGTTTGATCGTATAGTCTTGCCCTTAGACTGCATTCCATTATCTCCGTAACTAACAGGGGTCTCTCACCAGTTGTTGCACCAATAAATTGCAATAGGCAGGGATGGCGGCACCTTGAGGCAATGTCCACTTCTCTTTCAAACAATTGCCTGTTTCGATCAGACATAATGATTGGGTGTATTTCTTTTACAGCTACATCACATCCTTGAAATTTTCCACGGTAGACGATTCCCCACGCACCTTCCCCGAGTCGCTGGTCTCTTCTGATTTCAATTTCATCACCGGTAATTACCCAGTCTCTCATCTCTCTCAATTCTTGCTCGTGTGACGTTAACATGCCTCCTAACTGTTCCCTTGCTCTTCTCTCTTCTTCGCAGTCTAACCTTGCCCTTCTCAACTCGTTTTCCAGATCGGAGACTCGATCTCCTCTACAGCAAGTCGCAATTTGCCCCATTGCTGTATTTGAATGGCAGCTTGGAAGTGACTTTTCCTTGGTTGTTTCTTAGAAGTTACCTTTGAAGAGAAGAAAAGAGGAAAAAATGAGCCGGTAACGCTAGCTAGAAAGATGATGAAAAAGAAATTGTTGCCTTACTCGACTCTGACTGACTTTCCTTTTTTTTTATGAAGTTGAATACATGCAGTCTCTAAGAATTCAGTCGTCAACTCCAGGAAAAATCGCCCGCCCACTTGACAAATTGATTGGGCCTGAATTGAAGGCGATAACGTTTGAGAGAAGACAAAATCATTTTTTACACATCCCTAATGACGTGGTCGTCCAGTTTGAAGTTAACTAAAAGGTGAGTGAGGACATTATATTCAGGGCGATGTCAAAATGCGCTTTGCTGCCTCTGTTATCATTTTTGCGCATTATTATCTTCTAAAACAGGGCTGTTTTTGCTTTTTTTCAGTCTTTGGTTTTCTTATTCCTTTCAGTGTATTCATCGCCAACGGAGAATTTAATAATAATAATAATAATAATAATAGTAATAATACTAAAAATAATCGGGTATAAAAAGACTATTTCGTCAAAACACTATTATTGTTATTATTATTATTATTTTAAGTGAATTGGTTGTAAATAGGATCTTAATAGTTAGCACTGTTATCGATAAAATATGTTCGATTCATTATTAAATTTTAATAATAACAATCATAATAATAATGGTTTATTAACAGTGTATCCACCTAGTGGCTCTTCATCTGTTAAAAACTATAAAATAAAATATGAAATCTACAATATAAAAAGCAATAATATCGGACTATAAAAGGATATTGTATAATAATGTAACAGAGATTAGTAATAGTAATACAACCCTATATGCAATTTACAAACTATTTACAAATGTTATTTAACAGGTAGACATTAACTTCCCTACAGTATACTTTGAAATTGCTACAGTTTCTAATATTTGCCGGAAGGACATTAAATAACTTGGCAGCAGAGTCTTGAAAGGTGCCCCTCTCCATTATTATAATTAATCTTGTTGCTGCTCCTGACCGCAAAGATCGCAGATGTTTAACTGAATCTAGTGGTACGTAAGTGCTTTTGTAGATCGATTTGTTTCGTTTAACCCCGTCCGAAAAGTTGCACAAGTATACAGCTGGTGCATGTTAGTGATGTTCAGCACTAGGGGCGTGTAATTTTCACTTCGAAGGAGCAATGAACAGTATCAGTGTCGGGGCTTTTAGACGTGTTTTAGACTTGGCTGGCAGTTCAAAAGAAGGTGCGATGTTTCAGGTCGCTTTTCTTGATACCCAAGCCGATTGATTCGTTTAAATAGATGTCTCACTTCATTAAACTAAATATATTGACAGGCCACTGACAGAAAATTCTCCGGTTGCCAACTCATGGAGAGGGGATATCGAAGGAAAGAAGAAACGAGGGCCCGAACGAGGTTGTTCGGTTGCCTTTGGGCGCGGACACGTATTAAGATGTATCGCAACTCAGTGAAATTATTTGATTTGCAGTACGGTTGTGTCAACGTATTAGACGAGTTGCGTTACTGTATAAGACGAGTTGTCGAAGAATGTTAGAGATCACAAAGCATAGACAAAAAATATGCGAGAATGAACGTTTTCAAGTATGTGTAGCGTCCCGTGACTGTCATTCTTTCTCGAATTATCCATGATTTACTTAGACTCTTCGTTAAATAGAAACTAGAATAGACAAAAGACTAAAGCGTCAGCAAGGTGCTGAGTGGTGCCGAAAAAAAATAGGTCGAGACAACTGCACTTGGAAACATGGTGAATCAAAAGGTTCGACGCTATTTCATGTCTATTGCCCTAGTCAGCCATAGTTAATAGAGTGGAATGGTTATAAAGCTCCGCAGACTCAAGTTTTTGTGAACTTGACGGTGTGCAACGTTCAAAATAGTATTCATATCATTTTGATCTTACTGACCAATCTGTGGGACTAATCGAAGTCGCAAGAGTCCCCCTTGGAATCTAACGAAAAAATCTTAGCCTGAGTTACAATCATGATGTTATCTCGATTCTCAGTCTACTGTTTCCGCACGAGTCTTTATAAATAGCGAAAACCTCTCGTGAGGGCTATTTTTTACGATCTGGTAGTTTTTGATCATCATATTGTAATTCTGCAGACTACTTCAAGGTTTACACATTTCGACATATTGTTACACTACTGCGCAAACAATTGATTATCTCTCGCTGCAAGACAACTTTACCCACTGGGCACGACACACGGTTGCAACGCAAGTTATCATCGCCCAGAATAATAAATAGCTATAATAGTTTTTAGAGTCTCAGAGCTCGGATCAGAGAAAAGCGAAGCATCAACATCAATTGCATAATACTAACCGTTTTCTATCTTCACTTAACAGGAAGGCAGTAAGAGAGCTTGTACTTTGAGACGCAGATCCAACAAGAGGAAGTCGAAAATGAACGTAATACCGATTGGTGTTTTATTATGTTGCCCTGGATATCTGAGTGAGGGGGGCATTGGGATTTTCGGTTTTGCGGTTTTGGCTATTTTTTAGATCGGTTTTTTCGGTTTTTGTTGCAAAAGACTTCGGTTTTTCGGTTTTGGTGGTCATTGCTGTTTGCGGATTTTTCGTTTTTCAGCATCTGGTTTTCGGTTTTCGTGAAAAATACTAGCGGTTTTTCGGTTTTGGTACCCGATGTGGTTTTTCATATAATTTTCTCTTTGGTGCAAGGTCGCGATATGGAAGGGCAGTGAGGTTCAATAATCGACTGCTGTTTTGAATATCTGTTTATTACCACATTAAACCTTAGAGCAAGTTCCTGCTGCCATGTAAAACTGAAAAGGAACTAATTGTACCGGTTAGCTTCCTCAGTGTCGACTCAGCTCAGTGCAATCGCATGTTAGACAATCGAGTCTCCAAACTTTCAGGTGTTAGTTATCAAATGGAAATGTTCGATTAGAGATTTTCGATTGAAATTTCATTTACGATACATGGCCTTCGTAGCAGGTGTCGAAAGGGAGAAAGAGCGGGAGAAAGGAAAAAAGGGAGGGCCGATTGAGTGGTTAGGAGCGAGGAGAAATGGGGGGAAGGGGAGAAGAGAAGAGGGGGAGAGTGGGGAGGGAGAGGGAGAGAGAGAGAGAGAGAGAGAGAGAGAGAGAGAGAGAGAGAGAGAGAGAGAGAGAGAGAGAGAGAGAGAGAGAGAGAGAGATGTGTTCCCAGCCTACACTATTCTCAGTTTAGTGCTTTCAGCTGTCTGCCATTAAATTTTCGACGCCGCTTTACATGTCATTTATTGCATATTGTAATTGCTTTCTTTATCTTCTAAATTCTCTCATTATCTTTATTACAGTATTTTCAGCACAGTGGCCAATAACTGAGTCAAACAATTACAGTGTATTACTTGTTCTTGACGACCGTTGTTTCGATCTCAGCAAATTTCAAGTTAGTGATGACAAACGACACGTCGTATTGAGTACCGGGAGGATGCTTTGTGATCAAAATTCCTAGGGTACCCCTTATAATCAGTGCCTTTACGGAGAGGTTCCGCCCGAAAGGGGTATCTTTTTCAGGCAGGGTAGAGATTTCACTAGTTGAAATATATGATAGGTTACTGACTAGACGAAAAAATGGATTTGCTTCAAATATGCTCAGCGCAGATGTGATGCAAATTTATGCAAAATGAAGGACAAATCTGTGCAAAGGTGTTAAATGCCACATTTGCATATCTATTTACACCCTAGGTATATATGCAAATGAGGGATGCTAGTCGCGCACGATAGTCGTAAGCAAAAATTGTACTGTCTAAATCACAGGCGGCCCAGACGTAGTATGTGTCACTTTAATGAATATAGTAATATTCACATGGACAAATTAATGCGATGAGTCGTCGAAACTCCCATGGACTAAAATAGTCCAAAAGTCAAAATATAACAAAACAAAGCTAAGATACCTTCAACTGAACGTATCTTTGTCTTTCCTGGCCGGTTTAAGTGGCATTTTGTTGAGTTTTGCAATTGTAGGTACTATCCACTAAAGAAGAATTAAAGGCTGGCTACAAAACAAACAGACCATCTCCACGCGCCTTCACACGAAGCGCTATAAATTCGAGAATAATCGACGAATCCGCTCCAAATAACCATCGGCTAATCTGCAGGTAACGTGTGCTCCTGCTTCTGGCTCGCTTGCTCCACAAAACCCATCGCAACTGCACAATAATTGCTCGCTCATCAACAACCACTGTTGACCTTTACGCTTCGATATGACCGCAAACGACCAGGTTTAATCACAGGCGACCCAGACGTAGTATGTGTCACTGAATGAATATATTAATATCCACATGGACAAATTAATGCGATGAGTCGTCGAAACTCCCATGGACTAAAATAGTCTAAAAGTCAAAATATAACAAAACAAAGCTAAGATACCTTCAACTGAACCTATCCTTGTCTTTCCTGGCCGGTTTAAGTGGCATTTTGTTGAGTTTTGAAGTTGTAGGTACTATCCACTAAAGAAGAATTAAAGGCTGGCTACAAAACAAACAGACCATCTCCACGCGCCTTCACACGAAGCGCTATAAATTCGAGAATAATCGACGAATCCGCTCCAAATAACCATCGGCTAATCTGCAGGTAACGTGTACTTCTGCTTCTGGCTCGCTTGCTCCACAAAACCCATCGCAACTGCACAATAATTGCTCGCTCATCAACAACCACTGTTGACCTTTAGGCTTCGATATGACCGCAAAACGACCAGGTTTAATGCGCGACGTGAATATTCAAGCTTAGCGACCGCGTTCGCGCAACAATGCAGCACTTGCTATGGGAGGGATGGTACTATTACTTCTAGGTCAATCAATCGGGAAAATAATATTGAAGCCCTTGTGATTTTTAAAAAG